ATTATCAATACAAACTCAGTGTTTTATGCATGAGAATAGTAAAACCCCCCAAAAATTAGGTGACTTCTCTGAGGTTTCAAAGCTACTTAATGGCAAAGTTAATGGTGTTTTCTCTCTCTCTCTCTCTCTCTCTCTCTCTTTTCTCTCTCTCTCTCTCGCTGTATACACTCGCGTGCGCGCACACACACACACATATGTATATATAAATCACCTCTCAGATTAAAATAAAAAGCTTGAGCTGGGTGGCATATGTCTATAATCGCAGGAAGATTGGAAATGTGAGGGTAGCCTGGACTACTCAGCAAGACCTTTTCTCAAAAAAATAAAGTTTGCCTTCTTACATTTCTAGTCCAACACTATAGAGTGTAAATTTTTTTTTTCATTTTTCTTTTATTATTCATATGTGCATACAAGGCTTGGTTCATTTCTCCCCCCTGCCCCCACCCCCTCCCTTACTACCCACTCCGCCCCCTCCCGCTCCCCCCCTCAATACCCAGCAGAAACTATTTTGCCCTTATCTCTAATTTTGTTGTAGAGAGAGTATAAGCAATAATAGGAAGGAACAAGGGGTTTTGCTGGTTGAGATAAGGATAGCTATACAGGGCATTGACACACATTGATTTCCTGTGCGTGGGTGTTACCTTCTAGGTTAATTCTTTTTGATCTAACCTTTTCTCTAGTACCTGTTCCCCTTTTCCTATTGGCCTCAGTTGCTTTAAGGTATCTGCTTTAGTTTCTCTGCATTAAGGGCAACAAATGCTAGCTAGTTTTTTAGGTGTCTTACCTATCCTCACCCCTCCCTTGCGTGCTCTCGCTTTTATCATGTGCAAAAATATGGAACGCTTCACGAATTTGCGTGTCATCCTTGCGCAGGGGCCATGCTAATCTTCTCTGTATCGTTCCAATTTTAGTATATGTGCTGCCGAAGCGAGCACGAGTGTAAATTTTTTAATTATAAGATCCTTTTAGCTGGAGACAGAGGTTTTCCCCCACCCATTTTCAAACTCATGCAGTATTTAATATATTAAAAATAATTATGCTGTAAATTCTGAAAAGGAAACACCCTATATTCCTACCACCCAACTGAAGAACTAGATCATTACCAATGTCCTATGTAATCTTCTTTGCTTGTGTTGCTGATTATATTCCTTGCCTCTTCTACACTGAGCTTTCAGATTATTATCTTCCCCTTGCTTTTCTTTTTGATGTAATAACAAATGTATCTCTAAAAACAGTATTGTTTAGGTTTATATAATAATATAATCATACTGATATTCTTTGCCAACTAGCTTTTTTTTTCTCATCGTCGTTTGTTAGATTCATCCGTGTGAGTACTAATAGATGTTTTCACCATGGCTATAGAATATCTTTTCTGTGACTATACCTTCATTTTCTTGTCTCCCATCAATGGTTTTTAACATATTCACAAAATGTGCAGCCATTACTATGATCTTAATTCCAGAACACTTCCATTACCCAAAAAGAAACTCCATACCCACTAGTAGCCATAACTATAGTCACTAGACAGAATCTATTTTCTGTTCTCAGAATTTACCTAAGGAAAGTATTTTATAGCATGGAATCAAGGGCTGGAAGTAGGTCTGAGTTCAACCCCTAGTACTGCCAAAACAATGACAAAAAAACCCTAACAGTGGAATCATACAACATACAAACTTTTGTGCATGGCATCTTTCACCTTGCATGTTTTCAAGGTTATTCATTTTGTAGAATGTGTCACTACTTGATTCCTTTTTTTGGCTGAATGATATTCCATTATATGAATATATCACATTTATTGGGCTGATGTAGCAGCTCAAGTGGTAGAGTGCCTATCTAGTAAGCATGAGGCTGTAAGTCAAACCCCAGTGCTGCCAAAAAAAACTTCGTGCATTTATTTACCCCATTCATCAGTCCGTGGGTATTTGGGTTGCTTCCCCTTTGGGGCTATTATAAACAAAGTTGTTATGAGCCTTTATGAACATGTGTAAACATGTTTTCAGTTCTATTGAGAATCGGTTGGTAATATCAAATGTTTTCCAAAGCAGTGTACCAGTTTACATGCCTACACCAGATAGGGTCTTGTGTTTTTGCTAGGGCTTTTCTCTGACTGTAATTCTCCTACCTCTGGCCTCTCATGGAGCTAGATCGTTTATATAGCTACTTTGGAAAACAGTTGGGCATTTGCTTGTAAAATTAAACACACAGCTTTCCACCCAGCATTCCCACTCTTGGATATTTGCCCAAGAGAAATTAAAACTTATGTTTATACCAAAATCTGTATGAGAAGGCTGATAACAGCTTTTTCATAATTGCTAAAATGGATGGTAAATGCATGAACAAAATGTGTTTATATCATACAGTGGACTATTATTCAGCAATAAAAAGGAACTACTGTTCTATGTACCTGCATGGATGATCTCAGTTGTTTTTGTTTTTGGTGGTAATGGGGATTGAACCCAGGGTCTTGACATGAGCCAAGCCCCCAGCTATTGATCTGAATTGAATTAAAAAACAAACAAACAAACAAAAAACAGACCCAAAAGACAGTATGCTATATATGATGCTGTTTATGTAAGATTGTTAAAAGGGAAAAACTGTGGGAACAGAATCCTGATCAGTGGTTGCCTAAGTAAGGAGAGGCGTTGACTACAAAGGTCACTAGGGAATTTTTTTGACTGATGAAGATATTCTTAATTGTGGTGATGAGTGTGTGATTCTTAAGTATTTGTCAGAACTCATAACTGTATACTAAATATACTGAATTTTTATTATATGTGAGCTATATTTCAGTTAACCTGACCTAAAATCTTTAGCTCTCTTTCTAATACTTAGTTAATGCTGCTTAGACAGCTGAGAATACTGGGAGCTATTAGCAGTCAGTGCAAGGGAGGTAAGAGGAAAATGTCAGATAAGCTAGATAATATTTGTTGAAAATTATAAATGTTATGTAGCACTTTATTCTAGGCACTGTTCTAGGTGCATAACTTAACCATTTAATTGCTTTAATAACTCTGAGAGAGGTACTATTATCTTTCTCATTTTACAAAAGACAACAGAAAGGGCTGGCAGAGTGGCTCAAGTGAGAGAGCACCTGCCTAGCAAGTTTGAGGCCCTGTGTTCAAACCCCAGTACCACCAAAAAACAAAGCAAAACAAAAAAACAACAGAAACTCATAAATGTAGGGAAGTAGGAAAATTTTCCCCAAAACAGCTAATAAATAGCACAACCAGGATTTAAACTCCTTTTAGCTCCAGAATCCATGCTCTTAATCCCTATACTTGGCTTCTTTGGTTCATTGAATGTGATATGATAGATAATTCCAGTTGATGCTTAAAACTTTCTTTTCCCTTGATAGTTATGTGTGCATTATATATTCTGTTTTGGCTTACTGTAGAAAAAAAATTATAGTGAAGAGATCTTCTTAAACATAAGAAGTACCTCTAATACATGAGTTATTTTCCCATGTTCTCTTCTGGTTTTCATTCATATATATGTAGTATTTACAAAATCATTCCCTAATGTTAAAGAGACTATTACTGCCCAGTTATTTGTTGAATTATGAATGTTTTACATAGATAATTTTGTCTCTGTGTTATATAAAGAAAAAGAAGCAATAATTAAAATGGGGATGGAGATATAACTCACTGGAAGAGCACTTGCCTAGCATGAATAAGGTCCTGAATTCATTCCCCGACACCAAAAAAGTAAATTAAGAAAATGAATGAATAAATAAATAAGGTGGGCTATGTTTGAACTGTGACATTTGGTAAGAAATCAAGAATTATTCAGGGCCAAAGATACAAATCCCTATAATGATCACTGTAAGCTCTGAAGTCTGAGACTGAGGTGAATAATCAGTGACTGGAGTTCAATCCCTGGGACCACAAAAATAAATTTCTGCTTGAACCTCTGTTCATATTGGAGATGTTAGGTTACTTATAAATTAGTCTCACTAAGTTGATTCCTATACTCTTGATGATTTGTAAAGCTGTAGTAAGGTGTATTTCTTAATCTAAATTCCATGGAGGAGAGCAGACTTAAAAGTATATAAATCACTGTGCATGCACTCAGGAAGATGAGACAGGAGCATCGCTAGTTCAAGGCCAGCCTGGACTATATAGTGAGACTCTGTATCAAAGCAAAATATATCTCTTCTTGGCATAATAGACAAAACTCTATATGAAAAGAAAATTGAAACTCAATTTTAAGACCAAGACTTAACTCCCTGACATATTAATGCAATTTCCTCTACAATATTCTTAAGAATTCTTTGTGTTAAATTAGATGATAGCAAATCACAATTGGATTTGCCTGCAGTTTTTCTTTACTTATATAGACTTGTAGTGAATTCTTGACCAATTTTTTAAAAGGTCACATTTACTCACAAGAAGGGGAAGACTATTTTTCTATATTGCCTTCCTACCTATCTGCTGTCATTTCCTTGGGTTTAGGGTTTCTTCTGCTTTAGAGAAGAAAGTATGAGGTGAAGTATTAAAGGCTAATGGAATATTTATTTTGGGTCTTTAAGTTGGCACTTGAAGAATTGCTCAAGTCTAAGGGGTCTGTATATGTAATTTTTTTACTCCTAGAGGGAGGGATTCCGATTGTGATATCGTGAGCTAGTTATTTCCTTTGTCTCAGGAACGTACCCTGTGTTACACCAAAAAAAGAAGTCCACTCAACTCTGGTAGTTTTCCTAGTTGGTTCTTTGCTTCTTGTATCAGATAATCTGTGGGCTGGAGGCAGCATCCTGAGGCCTGCAAATCTCTTGGGGAAGATAACATACGCTGCGGCCCCTTTAAGTCTTCAGTTGAGCACAGAGGGCACTGAGGGTGGGGCGGGCACTCTGTGGTGCTTCAGTTCCCGCCCCCAGAGGACGCGTTTCCCAGCAGCCGCAGCCTGCCTCCCGCCTGCCGGGTATTCCTGCAGATCCTGCTGGGACCCTAGGGCCCCCCCGACCTCTCCCTGCCAGGCCTCTCCCTGCCAGGGGAGCGTAAGTGTCAGACTGTGGGCAAGGGGCGAGCATCCATTGCCTGTGCCGGAAGTCCTGGTGGACAGTACCAGGGACTTTCTTGGCCTATCAGAGGCTAAGGCGGCGAAAAAGCGTAAACAATGCCAGCTGCAGTGAGCTAAAGCCTGGGCATCTGCTCTTCTGGGTGGTGACAGAGGCCCTAGGGTACTTGTATGGATATGCAGCGGGTGAGCGCTGCCCACGACCTGGCTTTGCCCCAACCTGGTTCCTACTTGAAGTGAGGAGAGGATTGCTTTTACTGAAGTATAACCCAGTTTTGAGCTGGATGGGTGGAGCTCAACCTTGTGCTCTGGGCCTTGGGTCCTTAGCTTGGTATTTGGAGACCTGAGTAGCATCGGGATGAGTAAGCATTAAGTTTTCAGCAACCTTGATATAGTTGAGCAGTAACTCTCAAAGTTGACCTAATTCACAGCCGGCTTAACTTTCCATCTCCCCAGAGGCCTATGTTGGTATTTGGTCCCCCTTTTGGAGGCATTGACAGTGATTATCTATTAGGGAGAGTCCAGGATAACCTTCTTTCCTCCTGAGAGAATAGCTGAAAGACACAGCTCTTTACTGTTTCTGTCTCTGAGGGAATATGAGAGGCCTGTATCCCAGAAGAGGGAAAACAAATTCACCAAACTTTGTTGAGATAATCTACTGGAGAAACGGTTCAGATTTCTGGCCCCTGACAATGCTGAATACACCAGCAAGAGGATAACACTTGTCCTTGTTAATAGAGAACATTTGGAAGCAGTGAAGTTTTTTAAATTAGAAAGAAAATCTTGTCATTTTTGCGACCTGCTACTTAGAGATGAGATTTTGTTTGGTCTTGGCTAAGTAATAAAAACCTTAAAATTTCCATTACAGTTACATAATTGTTATACTTCTTTAGTCCAGTTGTCCTTCCTAGACATGGTTTGAGTAAAGATTTCTGTGCATGTTCATGCATTTTTTATCATTGTATTAGAATTACTGTCTTTTTTCAGTAGGAGTCTGTCATCACACATCATTGGTTATTCAAATAGTTTTTGTTTGTTTTTTCTGAGATGGATATGAGTATGTTGCCCCCCCCAGACTGGCCCCAAACTTCTGGGCTCAAGTGATTTTCCTGCCTCAGTCTCATGGCTGTGACTACAGGCCCACCACTATGCCAGGCACATGGGTTACATTTTGAGAGAGCAGAAATTTTCCTCAAACTTCCCTCATACTCAGGATCTGCTTATCCAGAAGTGAGAATCCAGGAATGGTTATCAAGTCCAGATCTCTTGTATTGTTACAGTGAAGAGCTTTTGTAGGTCAAGAGCCTGGAAATTTGCCAGAAAATAATCAAACTGTCAGTGCGTCTTTCCAATTAGAAGAGAAAAAACAATCTGTTTTATAATACCCCTATAATTGTTCTTATAGACTGTAAAAATACAGGAATTTAAAATAAAGGGCTACCACACTTGAACACTTGGGTGGTTAGGGAAGAGTAGTGGTCTATGTAGTAGAAGACAGTTCTGAGCCCAACTGCAACACTGATCATGACGTAATCTCTTGGTGCCTTACTTTTTTTGTTGTTTGAAGAATGAGAAAATACAAGATTGCTGGAGTTTATATTTTGTGATAGGACATGGTGCATATTTAATAGGAAATTTGTTATCTATTGGAATACTAAGCGGAAAAATTAATTTGAAATTTATTCTAAGTTCTATGTGTATAACTTTGAAAACATTTGTTTCTTTTTTTCTTTTCTTTTTTTTTTTTTTTGCATTACTGGGGTTTGATATCAGGGCTTTGCCACACCTCTAACCCTTGAAAATATTTCTTAACCGCTTATCTAAAAATAAATAATTATATCAAAACCTTTTCCAGCAGAAGAATGGACTTATTATATTTGAGGTCTTCAGAGACATTGTTACATATCTCAGTGGTATAAAGTGATAATATTTCTGTAGAACATATTTATTTTAGTTGGTTTCCTTACTTTTATTTCTGTTTTAGATTGGGGCAAAACCTCCTGAAAAGAGTGAAGGTGTGGCTCAAGCTGTAGAGCTCCTGCTTTGTAAGTGAAAAGCCCTGAGTTCAAAATTCCAGACCCACCAAAAACAGAAATTAAAAAATAAAACTTGCTGAGAGCTTTGAACAATTGAAATTTCTGAATATTTTAGTAGAGATCAGATCACATAAACCATAAAAAGCATCATACATAATTTTGATTGATTTTATTAATGCTTCTTTTTGTTGGCAGTTTTATTTGTTCTCAAGGCTATTTATTAAAACCCTAGGTTTTCTGTGTTTATCTTTATAAAATCTACACAGGTTCATCCCTGGTGCCACATTTCTAGCACTTGCAGATCATATTTCTGAAGTCTAAAACCAGACTCATTGTATTCCTGTTCTTTCCTCCACTCCCCAAAGTCAAATAACTCAGAACTTCTTCTGACAGCTTTTCTCTCATTGGCACCATTATTCTCCCTGTTAGACTGGAGCCTTCCTTTTCCCCATTAGACTTTTCTACCTTCTTAGTTGCAAGGGCTTATTGATTCTTCCGTGTGTGTGTGTGTGTGTGTGTGTGTGTGACTGGGGTTTGAACTCAGGGCTTTGCCCTCACAAAGCAGGTGCTCTACAGCTTGAGCCACACCTCCGCTCCATTTTGCTCTAGTTATTTTGGAGATGGAGATCTTGAGAACTTGTTGCCCAGGTTGTCCTCCAACTGTGATCCTCCAGATCTCAGCCCTCCAAGTATAGGATTATAGGTATGAGCTACTGCACCTGGCAATAATTTCTTATCAAGATTCTCCTTTCTCTACTTTCCAATTCATTCTGTGCAGATTTCTTTCTAAAATAGATACTGTCATTTCATTGCATTGCTTTAATTCACCAGCATCCCCTGCTTTTTAGTTTAATATTAATCATTATCTTCATAATCTGACATTAGTCTCTCTTTCTGGTCTTTCTGAATGGAACCATTCAGTGTTCTCTAAACAATAGTACTTTCCTATCTCCAAGACTTTGCCTTTTTCCTCAGTCTACAAAATTCCTCTCTCTCTCTTTCTCCCTCTCTCTGTTTTTCAGTACTGGGGTTTGAACTTAGGATCTTGCTAAGAAGTGCTTTGCCACTTGAGCCACACCCCCAGTCCTTTTTTGCTTTACTTATTTTTCAGGTACGGTCTTATGTTTTTTACCTGGGGTGGTGTAGGACCAAGACCCTCCTACCTAGGCATCCTGTGTAGCTGGGGATTATAGATCTGTACTAACATGCCCCGCTTGCTTGTCAAGATGGGAATCTTGCCAACTTTTTTGCCTATCCTGTCCTTGAACTATCCTTCTGATCTTCACCTCCTGAGTAGCTGGGATTACAGGCATGAGACACTGTGCCTAACTTCCACCCCTGTTTTTGAAAAAATCTAATCTATCATTCATTAATGAGTTCAAATGCCATCCTTTCTATGAGGTTAACTGGTTGGTTAGCTCACTGGTGGTTAATCCTGTCTTTGAATTCTATAACCCTTATTTGTCCCCTGTTTATAGCACTTTCCACATACAGTACGTTTCCTATTATGCTTAATTTTTTCCATGTCTTATTTGTACTATTATAAACTTCTTAAGGACATAATGGTTTAGCCATAGGAAAATTGAATGAATGAATGAAAACTTTAGGTAAAACTGCATGGAGCAGTTTCTTATTAGATCCTATTATTAGAAAGGAATCTAATCTTTATAACCAACCCATCCTTATCTCCTCAGGACTTTTGTTACTAAACCAAGTTAGATTTGTGAGTGTGTATTAATTGCACAACTTTTTAATTTCTTTAAGAACAGCTTTAGTGAGATTTCATATCATTCACCTATTTAAAGTGTATAATTCAGTGATCTTTAGTATAGTTATAAATTTGTGTAACATCATGATTTTATTAGTATGTATTAATTGTGTAAAGTGAGGAGTTTCATTGTAATATTTCCATGTAAGCATATAATGTACTTATACTGTATTCACTCCCTCTATTTCTTTTTCTTCCTCTCATTTTTTATATAATTTTAAAAAGTGGGTTTCATTATGACATTTTCATTCTCATGTTCACAATATAAGAACATTTTCATTACCTCCAGAAACCTTAGCCATCATCATCCCTCCTCCCTACCCAATACTTTCAAACACTGAAGTCCTAGGCAACCACTAATTTTCCCTTGTCTGTTCTGGACATTTTGTGAAAATGAAATTGCACTATATATAGTGCTTTGTAATTGACTTCTTTGATTTAGCATAATGTTTTCAAAGTTCGTCCATGTTGTATCTTGTCATGGATCAATAGTTTCTTTGTATCGCTAATAATACTTCACTTTATAGAGTCACTATTTTATCTGTTCAGCAATTGATGGGCATTTGGATTGTTTCCACTTTTGAGTTGTTATGAGTATTTGTTTGATTTTAATTTGCTGTAACTGAAACCAGACTTTTGGACCCAAGGCCCAAACTGCTGAGATTCCATATGCCAGGTCTGGCTACCCACCCATAAACACCAAATAAAGAGATGTGCTGAAGGCAGAGAAGGGGACATGCTGTGGGAAGAGGCAGAGTAAGCACTCAGCTCATCTTCACCCATCTTTGGAGTATGGACATGACTTACAGGTTTAAGTAGACAAAAGAACTGGGAACAGGGGACAAAGGTATGCATAGTTATGCAGTCCCAGTCACAGTGTGTTCTGGTTGACCATTATCTCAGTCCAAGAGTTCCAGGAGAGGTTCCGGAGTTGTTATCTGAAGCCAGGCAAGTGGTCCATCCAAAAGAGAGTCTATTGTTGGGGGTAATTTTGGTTCCTTGTAATAAAGATGTTATCCATCATTCCTGTCCTTCCTTAAGTCCAGTGTGGTTGCAAGGTGACTGCAGAGAGAATAGCGTAAAGCAAAGACAGATACAAAATGGAGGAGAGATGCTAAGCTTTTCCTGTTTTTAGTTAATTTGTGAGAAATACTCTTACCTGTCCAAACTCAAAAAATGGACTCAGAGACATTGGAATACAGTGGAAGTGAGACTTTAATGGCTGTCTTGCAAGATTGGGTGCCTGGGGAGCAGAGATACCTGAAGCGCTTACAATAAGCATTATATTGTTTAGTGCACAAGTCCTCCCCTGGTTCCTCATTGGCTGAGTACTATGGAGTGTACATTCTTTTTCCAGCCATTTCCTAGATTTCCTATTGGGTTATTTAAAATAAGCCTTTTGGGACTGGTCAAATTTTAGAGGTGGGCTTTAGATGGTATCTGTCTCCTTTGTGACGGAAAGGTCTCCATGTGATTTGTGCCTTCTGGCATGGACACAATTTTTACCTACTTTCTTACTCTGTCGTGATTTATCCCTTCTAATTTAAGTTCCCTTACAGGTTGCCCCTCCCCCAACATTTGAAAGTTGATATGCAAGCAACTTAAATGCCTTGCCTTAAAAATGGACTACCACTGACTTTATTTCTAACAAATTCATGGGCCTCAGTAAGGAGTCCATGCTTTTCAGCTAAAGTAGTTTGAGTGCCCCTTACATATATATTGAAATTATTCAGGCCTTTAACATGTAAAATTGAAGTTTGTGAAATTGAAGTTTTGTTTTGTATGTTCTATATGTATTCATCTTAATAGACTCAGAAGTTCCTAGTCATTACTTCCTGAGTAAATTCTGAAGGACATTACTTTCTTTTGTGGTAATTGTTAGCTAAAATTAGCTAAAATTTGCACATAGATCATATTCTTGAAGTCAGAGAAAAAAAATTGCACATAAAGGAAAAGTTTAGCTTTCCAACAAGTAGTCACTTTAGTGGCAAAAAAAAAAAAAAAAAAGAATTCTAGGGCCAGGTGTAGAGAACCTTGAGCTTGAGGTCAGCCTGAACTACATAGTGAGACACTGTGTCCAAAAAGAAAGAAAGAAAATGTTCTAGAGGTACAGACAGAAATTTAGAACTAATATGAGTCACAGAATCATAGCCTGCCACTCTTTAGTATTTTTGTTACTCTCAAGGAAAGGTTTTCCTTTCAACTGATAGTTAACTCCAGGGGTCGGTGCTAGACCACATGGCTACCCTAAATCACGAACTGTGATCATACCTTTTATGTTAGGAAAGATCAACAGTGTTTTAAGTCCTAGTCAGTAGTCAGGTTTGATTATTATGTAGCTGCTGATAAGGGATTGTTTCCCATCCTTATTAACTGTTCTTTTTTTGTTTTGTTTTGGCCTGGGCTAAGGTTTGAACTCGTGGCCTCATACTCGCCAGACACTTGAGTCACACATCCCAGCCCTAGGTGACTGTATTTTAAACTTGTGCAAATTACCTAAGTCCTTCTGAGACAAAGAAAGTGTTTTTCACATATCCTCTCATTTACACTTTTATTATTATTTTATCATTTACCTATTCATTTATTGGCATATTTGTTTGTTTATTATTCAGCTGAGGGTGGAATCCAAGGCCTTACACATATTAGGCAAGCACTCTATCACTAAACTTCACCCTAGTCCTCTTATTTGCTCTTTATATTTTCATTGAGTTAGGTAATCACTAAAATCTTACAATTAATAAAATGTGATTTGTTTTCATTATGTATTTATCAGTATATATTCAGCATATATTTATTCAGCATATATATATATATAGTATACATATATTTATCTTATTTACATAAATTGTAATACTCTCACTAAAGAATAAAGAACCTCTAATGAGCCACTCTCCCCTACCTAAGTGACCTTGAGCAAGACACTTTATCTCACTCCTGTTGTATGCAAGAAGAGGATAAGATGCTTGCTTTATCCCATCTTTTTTCTTTTTTAGCCTTGTGAGAATAGAGATAAATAAGAGAAAGTTCTTGCTCAAGAGAATCTTATGTGTAGTTTAGTAGGGAAGAGCAACATAACTAAAAATAACACCTTTAGGGGAAAAGAAAGAAAGACATAAGACCAGAATGTGCTTGTGTAAAATATTAAGAAATGCATAGAAGTGGTCAAATGTTTTCCTCAGTAGATTCTCAAATAAGAGAATAGTACCACAAAATTCTTTCTAAAAACTTTTTAAAAACCTTACAAGTTCAGGCATAGTGGTACAGGCCTATAATCTCAGCACTTGAAAGCTCAGGCAGGAGGTTCGTTAGTTCAAGGCCAGCCTGGTCATTCTCAACAAAACAGCAAAAAGGTCTTGAATGCTATTAAATTATATGATTGGTATTGACTAATTGTAAGTAGCCTAAAAAATTTTTGCATGGTAACAGTACATAAAGTCTTTGAAAGCAGTCACATTTAAATGTAACTGTAAGGCTGGCAGAATGGCTCAAGTGGTACAGCTCTTGCCTGGCAAGTGTGGAAACTTGAGTTCAAACCCCAGTATCACAATAAATAGATATTTTTTTTAAAAAAGGTAACTGTAAATGTGGTACAATGTCAAAAAGTTTTTTTGCTTATAACCTCAGAATTAGCAGTAGTATTAAACTTGCTACTAGAATTTGTTTAGTATGTTAATGACAAAGCCCTTATTCAAATTTTAAAATAGATTACATTTGAATATAATTTTCTATAACATTACGTATTTTGACACTAAAATATTCCATGAAGTTGTTTGTAGTCTTCACTAGAGCTCTATGGCACAAAAAAAGAACTTTTTTTTATAGACTATATAAGCAAAATGAGTGTTAAATGGAATTAATGACATTTTATAGTTGAACAAGCAAGAGAGTTACTTAGTTAGTCTTGCTGTCAATTATTAACTAAACCCAGAGTTTTGTTTTGTTGTAAGGGTTTTGGCTGGCATAGAGGTACACCACTGTAATCCTAGCACTTAAGAGACTGAGGCAGAAGGATCCTATGTTCAAGTATTCAGTTTCTGACTTACTAATATTTCATTTTCACATAACTATTATGAGCAATTTTTCTAACTAAATTCAGTTTGGATATTTGTTTTCTTTAATTCTATAAAATTGCAAAATAAAGTCAAATGTAATCTAAAGTGAAGTAAATATTTTCAAATTGGGAATGCCAGATACTAATAATGATGATAAACTGAAGACAATTATTGAGCCCTTGCTAGATGCTCAGTACCTAATCTGAGATTTTTTTTTCTATTTTTTTATTTTTATTTTATTCTAATCTGAGATTTTTATATGAACTAACTTATATAGTCCACACAACAACCCTCTGAGATAATAAAACTATATGTTTGCCTAAAAGTAACTTATCTAAGTGCTGTATCACTTGAGTCACTCCCAGCTCTTTTTTGTTTCATTTTTTTAAATAGGGTCTTGTGCTTTTTGCCAGGTGGCCTCAGAACACAATCCTATTTACTACTCCACATACCAATATAACATACATGTGCCACCACACTGGACTTAAACTTAGATTTTTTGTTTTTAAACAGGCACAACTCACTTTATTTTTCTTATATAAAAACTATGTTGTTGGAGCCTGGGTGTTGTGCACTGGGATTCTAGTGTGGGTTTTCACAAGATAGTGAATTCCTGCTGGGAGGTGTTACTGGATGGGTGATCTCTAGAGACTCTAGTCAGAAGACTGCAGGTAATTATGTCCCACAAGAGAAGAATTCAAGCAAGATGGGAAAATGTAGTCAAGTTTATTGAAAGAGAAGGGAAGACACCAGAGAAAGCAGTGGTGGGCCCAGGCCAAGTCTTTATTCAAAGGGTCTTTATAAATTGAAGGGCAGGAAAAAATCTGGGTTAGCCTTTGCAGAATGGGCGAGGGTGATTGACAGGTTTGATTGACAAGGTCTTGTCATACAACTTGAAACACTCTGCACATGCACTTATGCTAAATCTTAGGTATTTTAATTATATGTGTGAGGTGTGCTTTTACCTGAGAGATAATCAAGGATGGAATTTCCCTAAGGCTTCTTGTCTTGCGACTACTAAGATTTTACGTTTGAAAAGAAATGTATAACTACAAAGGATAGCATTGGGTTGAGAGAGGAGGAGTCTAACATGAAATGAACTGGGAAAAGTTACATGGTGCCTGAAAGTCCCAAGGCTTCTTTCCCTATTTCCTAGCCTGCCTCTGGGGTTTAGTGAACAGTCTTTTTCCGGAGATCTGGAGTCAGGTAGCTGTAGGTCTCGAAGATGGCATAAAAGGTAGCCTTGATTAAGTTGCCCAGAGTGGTAATGCCATCAGTACTAGCTGTCAACAACAGCGTCTTTTTTTTTTTTTTTTTTTTATTCATATGTGCATACAATGTTTGGGTCATTTCTACCCCCTTCCCCCACCCCCACCCTTACCCCCCGCCCCGCCCCCTCCTTCTCCCCCCCACCTCCTTGATACCTGGCAGAAACTATTTTGCCTTTATCTCTAATTTTAACAACACCATCTTCAGTACAGGAGCTGAGAGCCATGCCAGTGTCTCTGGGGCCAGGGATGAGGCACAGAACTGCAAAGGCCTGTTGCCTTCCATGGAACACACAGGGCTTGCCAATCTTGTTTCCCCAGTAGTCTCTCCACGCAAGGACAGTAGAGAGCTTGGCCAAGATGATGACCCCTCAGATGACAGGCTAACTCCTTCGAGCACTTAATACCCCCAGGGGCTACAAATACCTGGAGCCTGGTCCTCTGGCCAGTGAGAATCTGCTTCTGTGGGGCATGATCTTTAAAACCTCATCCTTGAGAGATGCCTCCAAGAAGAAATTAATAATCTCACACTCCTTAATGGACAGGACAAAGAGATCTCCTCCAAGTACTTGATCTTCAGATGTTTGACCAGGTGGTCCAACTTGGTGATGGGAATCCATTACTTGTCTTGGCCTATTCTCCAATGAGCCCTGATGCCCCAACCCCAACTGTGGAAGATCCCCTGGGCCTCTTAGCCCTCATACTATGCTAGTTAGTGTTTTCCCAAAGAAGAAATTAGCTTTAGTTCTTTCCTTCTTTTTTTGGGCTGTACTTGAGTTTGAAGTCAGGACTTCATGCCTGTTAGGCAGGCATTCTACTGCTTGATCCGCACCCCAATCCCTCTTTTTGTCTTTTTAAGGAAACGATCTCTTAATGGAATTAAATAGGTATTTGACCAAAGAATTGGCTTTTTACTCATGTTGCTATGTGCATGATAACATAATCTGAGAAAAATTATTTTGTCTTAAGAGACTACTTGATTAGTGGAGTTAATAGGCATCTACTTTTATCTGACCAGGAACTACTTTTAATTCCAAGGAAAAACTATAAGCACAATGGGAGATGACAGTGAGTGGTTGAAACTGCCAGTGGATCAGAAATGTGAACACAAGGTAAGACTTTTCTGGAATTTAAGTGTCATTGGCTAGTTTTGTCAGCAATTACACTATTGTCTTACTTAGAAGCTTGTTTTTCACATTTTCATAGTACCTGCTCCAAATTTCATTTCATTTAAGCAAATAATGTATACATTATTTCTTGTTTTTCAGTCAGATGTTGATCCTTCTATCTGTCTAATCTAATGTATTGTTGAGGTGAAACTTTAATACCTTTCTAGTGCCTAATACAGTGAATGCCAATTTGGTTGTCCCACAAACTAACTTCTCACTTTTACTCTCTCAAATCGTCTCAATGCTTTCTACTTCTTTTAGAATAAAAAGTAGAATCTTTCATGGTCTGGCCCTTTCTGATCCATTCTTTTGTACCATATTCCTCTTCTCACTTCCTCTTTTTTTTTTTTTTTTGGCTAGGCAGGCACTCCACCACTTGAGCCACTCCACCAGCCCAAATTTTTAAATTATGTTTTTATTTTTATTTTTTGACAGTACTGGAAGTTGAACTCAGAGCCTCACACTTGCTAGGCAGGTGTGCTCTACCACTCGAGTCACTCCACAAACCCTTTTTTAATTTTTTTACTCTTTTGGGGGAGAAAGGAGGGTGACTGTGTTTTGAGCACAGGGCTTCATGCTTGCAAAGCAGGCATTCTACCGCTTGAGCCACGCCTCCAGCCCATTTTGCTCTGGTTGATTATTTTGGAGATGACTAGTTGCTCAGCTGGCCTCAAACTGCAATCCACAAGTAGCCGGAATTACAGTTGTGAGCCACCAGCACCCAGCGCCAGACTTTTTATTGTTTATTATTTTTGAAGCAGGGTCTTTCTTTTATGCCAGGTCTGGCTTGGACTGTGATCCTCCTATTTGTGCTTTCCCACATAACTTCCTCTAGAGTAGCTAGGAGCTAGGACTACAGGCTCGAGCTACCACGTCTGTTTTGGTTTTTTTTTTTGATTTGATTGTTTTTTGAGATAGAGTTAACTTTGTAATTCAAGCTAGCCTCAGACTTGCTATGTAGCCTTGGCTGGCCTCGAACTCATAATCCTCATGCATCAACTTCCTGAGTGCTGAGATTACAAGAGTGTATCACCACATCCACCTTCATCATTGTAATTTCTCATGTTTGAATTGTCCTATCTTTATGTATATTATAGGAATAACCAAGACTTGGACACAAAGATATATTTATAATGTATAATGGCTTGTTATGAATTTTAGTTATGAATTTAATCTTGGTAAAACATTCCTGTAAAGTTTATTCACTAATCTATTTTGAAAGCCGCCTGAATTTTTTAAATTCCTTTTTTGTTTGCAGTCATGGGATCCTTTGTTCACATTACCTGATATGGGGTATTCATTTTTACCTCTTTTTCTCCAGATTATCTGTAAATAATGCCGTTAAACTTTGTTTCAAAATAATCCTTTTCTTTTAGTTATGGAAAGCAAGATTAAGTGGATATGAAGAGGCCCTGAAGATCTTCCAGAAAATAAAAGATGAAAAGAGCCCAGAATGGTCCAAGTTTTTAGGATTAATCAAAAAATTTGTCACTGATTCCAATGCAGTGGTTCAATTGAAAGGACTAGAAGCTGCACTTGTTTATGTTGAAAATGCCCATGTAGCAGGAAAGTAAGTAGTTTCCTTACTACTATTCTGGTAAAAGCCCCTGTCTGGGGCCACACAGATTAATTTATGTATGCTTATAGATCCTTATAAACATACACAATTTGCAGATTTAGAATATATTAATTTTCTTACTTTCATAGTGCCTAGACATTTGCTTTTCTTGTTTTTACTCTCAAAGTCTAAATGGTAAATGGGAACTCTAAAGAGGAGTAAATTAGAAGTCAGATCTTGAGCTTTCCCTTAAAGTTTAATGAGCAAATGTGTTTCCTTTTGGACTTTTTATATGGGAATTATTCTAAACTAAAAGGGAAAGTCTTTAGTAACTTTTAGAAAAAACTGAGTTGTTATCAGTAAAGGAATTATCAGAATATCACTGAAGAGAGTTGGGCTTTAAAAATAGGTTTCTTAGCCAGACATCAGTGGTTCATGCCTGTAATCCGAGCTACTTAAAAAAGGCAGAGGTAAGGAAGATCGAGGTTCAGTTCATGGTTTGAGGCCAACCTGGGTAAATAGTTCATCAACCCCTATCTTGAAAATACCCAACACAAAAAAGAACTGGTGGAGTGTTTCAAGTAGTAGAGTGCCTGCCTCTCAAGTGTGAAGCACTCAGTTCAAATCCCAGTAACAAAAAAAATAAAAGTTTCGTTCCTCGGCTATGGTAGAAAGATTAAGAAATGAAGGAAGAAAAAGGAAAGAAGAAAAGGTTTCTTACAAGGGCTGCCAGCTAGGTCATCTTTGTTTTTTTTAGGTTTTGTTTTGTTTTTGATATGACTGGAGTTTGAACTCAGGGCTTTGCACTTGCAAAACAGGTGCTCTACTTCTTGAACCATAGGTGATCTTAAAATCACATCTTTCTTCCTGCAGTCATTAGGCCTTTTTTCTCCTAGGGAAGGAAGTGCTAACTAAACAATCTCTGATTCCTGGCCTGTTTGACTTGAGGTATAAATAATAGAAGTTTCCAGTCGCCCACTTTCTATGCCTCATAACTCTGATTTTCTAACTTTAGTCTTTATGTTATTGATAAGACATGCCACACACAAAAGATTGGGACCTTTGACTTAATTACACAAAATAAATGTATTTACTTTAAAGATTTTGCCAATAAAGATAATCATTGATCCTTTTTTTGGTTTATAAACTTGATGATTGGTAGTTCACGTCTTTGTGTAACATGTGCCTCCCTCAAACTTTGTTACAATGTCAGCACATTACCCATCTGGAAAAAGTATATATATAATCATCAGTTTGATGGTTTGATTAACCAGCATCACTGTTAAGTGAAATCTTTTGCTTTTTAATTTTAATTTTCTTCTGATGTCAAAAACTGCTATTTTGACAAATGATACATGTAATCCCAATGTAATCCCAATGTACTCAGTTCTTCTAGCTCCTAGGAGTACGGGTTTTCTTTGATTTAGAAGAGACTCAGAGCAATAAAGTTGCTATATAGTTTTGCTTAAGGAATTGAGAGCAGTCTTTTCTTATTAAAGGTACACACCCTTTCATTACCTTGTGTGATACTTCCTTGTCCTAGGAAATGTTTGAATAACTTCATATTTTTCAAAAGGCAAGCAAGCATTCTACCTGGGCACTGGGAATTCCCCCGGTAATTCCAGCTACTTTGGAAGTTGAGATAGGAAGGATTACAGTTTAAAGCCAGCCTGAACAAAAAATTACTGAGACCCCATCTCAGTCAATAAACTGGGCTTAGTTGTGTGTATCTATGATCCTAGCTACACAGAAAGCCATAGGTAGGGAAGGTGACTGAGGCTGAACCTGGGCAAAAAACTCAAGACTTGACCTGAAAAGGAAAGCAAAAACAGACTGGTGGAGTAGCACAGGTGGTAGAGTGCCTTCCTAAGCAAGCTCAAGACCTTGAGTTTAAACCCTAGTACTGCCAAAAAAAAAAAAAAGTAAGCATTCTGTAATCCTGTTTCAAGGAATTTTTACTTTTTTGTTTGAATTTTCTACACTTAAAAAAATACGTCTAGTGTAACATGTCTTAAACTTTTGTGGATTGGGATAAGGTTTTTTTTTTTTATTGTTCTTGAACATAATTTGTTGTTAACTGTTTTTGTTTTTTGAGGTACTAGGACTTGAACATAGTGCCTTATGCTTGCTAGATAAGCACTGTACCACTTTAGTCACGACCCCCAACCTAAACATAAATTTAAAAATTGGAAGCTGGGTGCCTGTGGCTCATGCCTGCAATCCTAGCACTAGGAGACAGAGATCAGGAGGATTGCAGTTCAAAGCCAGTCCAGGCAAATAATTCCACAAGACCCTATCTTGAAAAAAATGCATCACAAAAATAGGACTGGTGGAATGGCTCAAGGTGTATGCCCTGAATTCAAACCCCAGGATTGTTAAAAAAAAGGAAATTCTTTTACTTCTAAGCATTATTTGTACATCCCATTTCATGATCTTTTCCCAACTTTCTACCAAAGTGTGGCTTTTGTGTGTTGTGTTGGCTGGTTTATATTACAGAACCACAGGAGAAGTTGTATCAGGTGTTGTAAGTAAAGTGTTCAACCAACCCAAAGCCAAAGCCAAGGAACTGGGCATAGAGATCTGTCTCATGTACATAGAGATTGAGAAAGGAGAGGCTGTGCAAGAAGAGCTTCTTAAAGGCCTGGACAATAAGAACCCCAAGATCATAGTGGCCTGTATAGAGACACTGAGGAAAGCCTTAAGGTAAGATTTTTTTCTTGTGCTTTAGTTCTATTAAAGTATCTCAATTGAGTTTGAGTTCTTGGTTTAAACAGAAATGGGATGTGCTGAGCTTGGCTGGTCATGCCATAACAACCAGGAAAGGGATCTAGAAAAGGTAAAGTTCACTCCTCAAGTATGGCACTTTGCATTGAATAGTTTTAGCTTTCAAGTGTGTTATGTGGTTTCTTTCTGTAAATCCCTTTATGAATGAAGGTGAGTAGGGTGTTATTTCTGATCTCAGATTGAGAATTGGCCTTTTTTATAAAAGCACTCCCAAGGTATTTAAGTAGTTTCCGCTTATTACTCACTATAAACTTCTGTTGGCCAAAAAGACACAGGTTATTGGCTACAGCAAATTTTAGGTGCCTTTTTTGGTAAAGTCAAAGTGAATCCTGTTTATGGCCATACCAACCTGAATGCACCTGTTCTCATCTGATCTCAGAAGCTAAGTGGGGTCGAGACTACATACTTTTTTTTTTTTTTTTAAAGATACTACATTTTGGGCCTTTATAGGTTTGCATTATTCCTTGCAGATTACCTAGAAAGTTTATTTGGGAATAAATAATATTCTTAGAAGAATGGCACAAATATATACAAGGTTGTGAGTTTCTTTTGCTGCCCTAAAGAAACTCAGCTTATGTAACTATTAATATGATACATGGTATTGAACTATAAATATCTGTAGCACATTGGGTAGTGACAATTTTCCCCCCAATTTTTCACTTTTATAGTGAATTTGGTTCCAAAATTATCTTGCTTAAGCCAATTATCAAAGTGTTGCCAAAACTCTTTGAGTCTCGAGAGAAGGCTGTTCGAGATGAAGCCAAACTAATTGCTGTGGAGATTTATAGATGGATTCGGGATGCTCTGAGGCCCCCATTACAAAATATAAATTCTGTCCAGGTAAGACATGAAGTTCTCTGGTTGTCTTTGCATAAAGTTAACATGAAGATGCTTCCTTCCTGTCAATTATTGATATTTTGTCCTTATACACAATTATTTTTCATTCTTAATTTTGAAGTCACTTGATTTTTCTGAGCATAGCTAACTTTTTGTGTTGTTAACTTCATCCTCTCAGATATGCATTCAGTGATTCTAGTATGTGCCAGCATTTAATCTTTTTGGAAGACAGAGTGTGAGGGAGTGGGGGCGGGTGATGAGCACAGGGTCTTGTTCATCCTAGGTAAGCATTCTACCACTGAGCTACATCCCTAGATCAGCTAGTATTAAATTTATAGCAGTTTAAATGATCCTGTTATAAATTCTATTGGGTCACAGGATTTATCTGTTTGGATGAAATGCATTCTTATCTGAATTTTTCTTAAAATTATTTTTGTAAACTTTTTTGAGCATGCAAATATATATGGGTTCATGACCTAAAGAGAGTGTCCTAAGAAGTGGATTTTATTCTCCTTTCTTAGTGCTTAGATATACATCTTCAGTTTCAGTATAGTAAATCAGTTTGATTTATGCAAGAAAGTATATACAATTTAAATTTTTCTTGTTTACCCTACATAAATAAGAAAATGAATCCCAGTATATCAGTAAATATGAATATTAAGTATGTTCTCTAATGGTGGAGTATAAATAAGTTTTAAAAATGTATTGATGTTTGCAGTTGAAAGAGCTAGAAGAAGAATGGGTCAAATTGCCAACAGGTGCTCCTAAACCAAGTCGGTTTCTGCGTTCCCAGCAAGAACTAGAAGCAAAATTGGAACAACAACAGTCTGCTGGTGGAGATGCTGAAGGGGGTAAGCCAATTTTAAACATTAGTTTCTATAAAATTAGTAAGAACTAGCATTGCCACAAGAATCTATGTTTACTGGGCATATTTTGAAGGACTGTTTTTAATAAAATGTAGCTTGGATATGGCACTATCATTTCTTTATTAAGACTTCATCAGGGATGGAAAAGAACTGATAACTGACTAGTAAAACTATTCCTGCTGTTTTTAATGTCTATTTTGTTTTCCACTTCAAAGGTGGTGATGATGGTGATGAGGTGCCACAGATAGATGCTTATGAGCTTTTGGAAGCAGTAGAGATCCTTTCCAAACTTCCCAAAGACTTTTATGACAAAATTGTAAGTAATAGTTAACTGTCTTTATTTTATTTTAAATAATAACCTTGATAGAATTAGAGAATGATGTGCTGAGCCCTTGCCTAGTGTATGCCTTTTCACCCCATATCTTCCCTAGGAGAGTAAGTTAGTTACTTCCCTTCTTTACTCCTATACTACTTTGTATATGTAACTATTATGGCACTTTTTACAAAACATATTCTGTCAACAATTAGTACATTGTCCTTAGTTTGTTCCTTACTTTCTCTCAGATTTTCAAAAAAAAACATAACAAAAAGATTACACTGTAATCTTCTCTAGGATAGTGAGTTTGTTACCTTCTTTGTGTCCCAAAATAGCTAGGTGGGGTGGGGTCCTTCTGCTCTACCCACCATAGGAATCATTGGTAGATGAGGAAAAGCTCTTTCAGTTATTCCAAGTCCTGGAGCATATATATTTTCAAGCAACACCAGTGAATGACAATGAGCACTAGAACTCTGCCATGGACCTTTTTACAGTAGGGCATTGGCACTCAGTTCCAAACCTCCTAGATGCCCAGAGTGTTTTTTTTTGCCTCAGGCTGGGGCCTTTTGCACGTGTCTCCATAGCAGATCCCAGCCCACTTTTACTCTCGCTGCTGCTTGCCCCATTGGCCACTCCTGTCAATTTCGCCACCCCTCCCCCACACCACCAAAAGGGACTTCAGGCTCCCAGGGGTGCTTACATCTCAGCTCACTGTAGCCCCAGTTGACCAAAGGCAAGCCCTCTGCAGTGAGCAGCCGCTGGTGTTTTCAACAGCCAGAGGAGAACCCCCCTGAGGTGGGAAGCTACTCTTCATAGGACAGCTCTGCTGGTTGTCCCAGACCCTGTACTCCCTGTAACACTCCCATCACCCCCATTGCTGTCTTTGCTTTTTCTGCAGCCCATATGCCAGTCCTGCAACTGAGAGTTGCATGCCAACCCTATGCTGCTCTTGCTGCTGTTACTGCTCTTTTCTTCATATTACCAGCTCAGTCACTTTACTAATGATGAGAATCAAAACTAGGCAAGGCAGACCCCTATAGAGAACTTGGCGGGGCGGGGTGTTGTTGATTGGTTTTTTTTCAGAGGGGTATCCTGGGATTTTTACCTCAGGGACTCATACTTGCAAAGTGCTCTATCACTTTGCACTATTACCTCATCCCTTTTTGCTTCAGTTTGTCTTTTAGATAGAATATTATTTTTGCTTTAGGTCATCCTGTCTACACCTGGGTAGCTGGGATTACAGGCACGCACCACTACACCTGCCCAATTTATTTGTTGAGACTTTTTTCCTAGGCTGGCCTCAAACCCTGATCCTACCAATCTCCTTCTCCTGAGGAGCTGGGATTATAGGCATATACTACCACACCCAGCTTGAAAAACACTGTATTGGATCTGCCGTTGCAGCACTAGGAGACGGCATAGGAAGGTGTCTCCTGGCTGCTCACAAACTGAGCTTACATAGCCAGAAGGGGTTGTGACAAACAGGTATGCACCAGTCATGGCAATTCTCTCATGCAAATGAAGGATTGTGTTGCACTAATCATGGCACAGTCCCTGTCACCAGTCATGACAGCCCCTCAGGCAAATGAAAGACTGTTTTGCATCAGTCACAGATCTTCTGGGCCACCAGAAAGTGCTCTCTCTCTGCCTTGAGTAGAAATTGACTGTAGGATCATCTAGGGTTCACTGAGGCTTGTGGCAAAAAGTGCTGTGCAAACTGTTTTCTGAGAAAGTACCTTCAGGAGGTAGAGTTGTGCTTTGGGGTCTGAGTGGCCCAGTGGAGCTGCCTGGCTGGCAGTCCTTCACTCTTATAGCTGAGACCCTGGGGAAAAGTCTAATACCTGTTACCTAAGGAGTCAACCCTGCCTAACCTGGAACATGTCAGCACATTTAAAGGAAAAGTAAGCTTTCAAAATGGTGCTTATAATACTTATCAGTCACAGGATTTTCATAGTATTTAACAGTGCTCTAGCAATGCTTAACTCCAGTCCTAGTGCCCCAGGGAGGGGTCCCTACCATCAAGTTTCATTTGTATCCTCTTTCTTCCAGATAGTGAATATTCAAATCATTAAATGATGGTTTGATCTCTAGTTAAAACAAAAGGGTTGGCATTATGCTCATAATCAGAAAACTAATCTCTAAGATCAGAACAGTTTTGGTTGCTAGTTATGTGATGTTCTTTTCTGGTCTTCTTATTTTGTCAGTGTAGAAATGCCTGCCCTATAATTGTGCCCCTGTGGCACGGCTAGAGATTCTTTTTATTTTTATTTATTTATTCATTTATTTTTAATATTGTTTGTTTGATACCTGTTTACTTAAAGAGAAATGAAAAAATAGCATTATTTTCTTATATTTTTTTAGGGCTATGAAATCTTAAGAGAATACATTTTATACATAAATAATTTTATAAACAAAATATTCTGATAGGCACAGTTTCTTTTTCTTTTCTTTTTTTTCTTTTATTATTCATATGTGCATACAAGGCTTGGGTCATTTCTCCCCCCTGCCCCCACCCCCTTCCTTACCACCCACTCCGCCTCCTCCTTCTCCCCCTCACCCCCTCAATGCCCAGCAGAAACTATTTTGCCCTTATTTCTAATTTTGTTGTAGAGAGAGTATAAGCTATAATAGGAAGGAACAAGGGTTTTTGCTGGTTGAGATAAGGATAGCTATACAGGGAGTTGACTTGCATTGATTTCCTGTGCGTGTGTGTTACCTTCTAGGTTAATTCTTTTTGATTTACCCTTTTCTCTAGTTCCTGGTCCCCTTTTCCTATTGGCCTCAGTTGCTTTTAAGGTATCTGCTTTAGTTTCTCTGCATTAAGGGCAACAAATGCTAGCTAATTTTTTAGGTGTCTTTACCTATCCTCACCCCTCCCTTGTGTGCTCTCGCTTTATCATGTGCTCAAAGTCCAATCCCATTGTTGTGTTTGCCCTTGATCTAATGTCCACATATGAAGGAGAACATACGATTTTTGGTCTTTTGGGCCAGGCTAACCTCACTCAGAATGATGTTCTCCAATTCCATCCATTTACCAGCGAATGATAACATTTCGTTCTTCTTCATGGCTGCATAAAATTCCATTGTGTATAGATACCACATCTTCTTAATCCATTCGTCAGTGGTGGGGCATCATGGCTGTTTCCATAACTTGGTATTGTGAATAGTAGGCACAGTTTCTGAAAACAAAAAAAGTTGTGTCTTTAAATTACTAGAGTGTAAAAAATACTTTTATTCTTCCCTTTTATTTTTGTTCAACAAGTGACTCACTCATATTTTGTGTCTTGCAGGAGGCAAAAAAATGGCAAGAGAGAAAAGAAGCCCTGGAGGCTGTAGAAGTACTTGTGAAAAATCCCAAACTGGAAGCAGGCGATTATGCAGATTTAGTAAAAGCATTAAAGAAGGTAAATAAAAGTTTTAGTTTTGGTAACCTGACAACAGCCCAGACCATTGAGTTTTTCTTAATTAGTAACTCAGTGATATTTTCTTATCACAAATACAGAGCCATTTAAGGAAAGGTATTTGAATTATATTTTTAAAAAAGTTTTAAGAATTGTTGTAAGTTAGTTTGGAGAGATTAGTTTTCAGTATTTATTATTACTTTGCCTTTCATGTGCTGTTTGATACCTTCTACAAACTTCAGGGGAAAAAGGATCTTGCTGATCTAGGACCAAATATTAGTTTTATAATTCCATAGGATGAACTACTTAAATAAGCTACACTGGCAGATAATAAAGGTAAAGGTTTTTTTGGTAGCAAAAGATACCATACGGTATTGTATCAGCATTTCAAGCAAGTATGAGAATATGTGGTCAGTTATTTAGCAGACCCATTTAAGGAAGAAATAAACATTTTTAGAAAATACTCCTTTGGTATTGCTTAGGTTCAGCAAAGTTGAATGCTGCCACTGGTTTTTTTGGGGTTTTTTTAGGTAGTGGATTTTCTTAAAATGTTTTTATCAGAAACACTGTGAACATAGTCATAGAGCTTTAAGAGTGCACTGTAAAAGGAAAAGTGGGAGTTTTCCTGAATAGAGCAAGGCTAAAAACTTTGCTTCCTCAGCCTGAAATTTACAGAGGATTAGAGTGGTAGGGAAGGAGTTTAATCTTTAATTATATGCACCTTCAAGCACAGTGATTTTTGTTATCTAAGGTAGTTATGTTCATAAAGTTGCCAAGAATTCTGAATTACCCCATACTGGATTATTGCTTCTTGTGGAAATAGGTTAGAGTCCTGTAATCCTCATCGCAACATTTTCATCTACATGAAAGGTTACTACATAACTTTGTTTTAGTCTGTACGAGGACATCTTATTTAATACATATATTTTTGATTCATTAGCATTGAATTCATGGTCAGTAGTTCTGTAACTCATGTCTGAGTAAAGCTTATTAAATATATGTGCTTTCTCGATAAGGCACATCAGAAACTCCTTGCACATGGAACACTATAAAGCACTTTGGCACTACACTTGGTCCATTTTAAATAGTGAAAGCATCAGTGTGCAGCACAACAATGTAAAATAATGGCACTAAGTAGACCATGAAAAAGATATGTATCGTGTGTAGTATGAAAGCTAAAACAAGAAGGCAGAACATTGCCTTGATCTACCTTCGGGGTGGGAATGTGCACAGCTCTGCATTTGTCTGTGAATGACTGAGAAAGTACCATGAACATTGATTTCGAGGTTATAAATAAATTTTAGCAAGAAGAATTTGCCAATATGGATTGGTGAATAATGAGTAGACTTTATTTCCTAGCAGTTGGACTTCCTATGTTTTCCTCAAGTGGGACTCTCTTCCCCTCCCCTACCCTCTTCTTTCCTCCCCTCCTCTCCTCTCTATAATTTTCTGTTTGAGTAGACACACCAGATTTCTGAGAGGTCTAAATAGCAGTAAAAATTCATTTTCCTTGTCCTTTCCTGTGCCTTCTTAAGGTTGATGCATTGCCTTAAGAGCCTAACACAGAAGGGTCAAGAACTCTCCATAAAACCCAGAGAAGGGCTTGTAAAACTCCTCTCTATACCCTGTCTGGAGTCACAGCTGAAAAGAAAGGAAGGGAGAAAAAAAAAAAAGGGCTGGCGGAGTGGTAGAGCACCTGCCTAGCAAGTATAAGTCTCTGAGTTCAAACCCCAGTACCACCAAAAAAAGAAAAGAAAAAATAACTCATTTTCCTCTTCAAATGGTAGGGTGGGGAGAGTTAGTCAAAGACTGCAAAGGATGTGAAGAAGAAACTTAATTTTGTGGTTAAAATATTTAAAACAATGAAAATGAATTAATCTGAGGCATGACATTTTAATTTTATACTTGCTATGTGCACACACATGTGTAAATTGCATAACCATATTATGTCAGTGACATAAGAAATGCAGAAGTGGTAAAATTAAAGATTATATTGAATATAATTCTCTTCCCTCCATTTAATAGTCTTTTCTCTGTTGTCTAAATTGAGTAATCCCTTTAATTTCCCATTTGTTTCTTTAATATGGATAGTAAAAATATACTCATTTTGAAATTCTTGTTGTATTCCTGAAATTATTTCTTAAACTCTTTTCTTCCAAGTTGTCACTTGACTTAGCATATTCTGTGGGCTTTCCTGTTCTTACAGGTTTAGTTATTTCATTTATAAGATGCCCTCCTCCCCATTAATTTCTTTTTAGTAGTACTGGAGTTTGAACTTAGGACCTCCTACCATTTGAGCCATATGCCAACCCTTTTCTTCTTCCTTTTTTGGAAGTATTGGGGTTTGAAGTCAGGGCCCCATGCTTGCTAGGCAGGTGCTTTACCACTTGAGCCACTCTGCCAGCTCCCCTTTTCTGTTTTTCAGTTGTTTTGTAGTCAGGGTCTTATGTTTTTGCCCAGGACTGGTCTCAGACCAAGATCCTCTTATGTATGGCCTTCCAAGTATCTGGGACCACAGATGTGTATGCACTACCACACCTGGTTTATTGATTAAAATGAGGTCTCTCTGACTTTTTGTCTGGGCTGTTCTTGAATCATGACCCTCCAGATCTCTGCCTCCCCAGTCACTGGCATTGCAGGCATAATTTCTTTGATTTGACTCAGCCCCCATAATTTCTTTGAATTTGACTATTCCCTAAAGTAACAATTGATACATAGTTTTTGTGAGTTTTTTTAAATCTTCAGATTAAGATTTGGGTTTCAACGTGTTCTGTTATCTCCAGACTTTCTATGTGGTGTTAACCTTTTGTCACTTAGCTTTTCTATATCCGCCCCTTTTAATTATTGCTTTTATTCATCACAATTTTTTTTTTTAACACTGGAGCTTGAATTCAACAGCCCTTTTTTTGTGATGAGTTTTTCAGTATAGAGTCTTGCAAACTATTTGCGTCAAACTGTGATCTTCCTGATCTCTGCCTCCTGAGTAGCTAGGATTATAGTAGTGAGCCACTGGTGCCCAGCTTCATCATAATTTTTAACAGAATAATTCATAATGAGTTTCATTGATTATTTTTTTTTCCCTTTCCCTCCATCAACAGTATGTTTTGGACTCTTTTTTTTCTTTTTTTTTGGTGGGACTGGAGTTTGAACTCAGGCTTTGTGCTTACTAGGCAGTCACTCTACTGATTGAATCATACTTCTAGCCTCAGTCTCAAAAGTAACTAGTATTACAGGTGTGAGCCAGCACCACCTAGCTGACTTGACTATTATTAACTAGTGGCTTGTATTACTAATTACTAGTTAAAGATACTTAAAACAATGAAAAGTTAACTTCAGTTGTATGCATTAATCTAAATACTCCAATGATCTAATTGATAATTAAATAAACTAATTAGATAAGCATACCTAACTGGTAATTACTTAAAAGCACATTGTACTAGTTGCCATGGCCCATACCTATAATCCCAGTTACTTGGGAGATAGAAATTGGAAGGATTGACATCCAGATCAGGGTGAGGGTTATAGGGGACTGGGGAGACAGGATAGGATGGGCACACACAAGACCTGGAAAATAACTAAAGCACAGAAAAGGGTTGGTCTGGGGTGTGTCTCAAGTAGTGGCAAGTGTAGCAGGTGGAGTATTGAGTTCAAACCCTAGTACTGCTTCCCACTCACCAAAAAAAAAACCCATTGCATTTTAACATTGTAGACCCAGATTATAAGAAAAGTGGTGGTACTTTTTTTTTTGAGACCAGGTTCTGACTGTGTTGCCAAGCCTAATCTCAAACTTGTGAAATCCAGTCATCTTCTTGAATAGCTGAGACTACAGGCACATGCCACCATGCCTGACTAGCACTTTTTATTATGGAAATTTTCTCATAATTGAGATTAAATTGGGATTGTGAGCTGAATTTTCCTTTCCCTGGTCTAGAACAGAAGTCACTGAGAAAACAAATCACTGAGTTTTTCTCATTTGTGGAATACAGTTTCCCCACATATACTATTTTTCTCAGAAATCAACACTTCCACTTTCTTTTCCACTCACAGGATACTTATTTATTGAGACAGTTTTTCCATATAGCTTAGGTTGGCCTCTAATCTGAGATCTTCTGCCACAGCCTACTAAGTACTGGGATTACTGGCATGTGTCACCACACCAGACTAAGAATCTTCAATGTTTTAGATTAGGATCTTGAGTATCATTCACTTCTCTCTGGTTACTACTCTTACAGTACATAGGGAGAAGTACTTTCCTAGGAAATGGATGTAATAGTACTTTTTTTTTTTTGCTTACTGGGGTTTGAACTCAAGGCCTACACCTTGAGCCACTTCACCAACCCTTTTTTTAGTGTGTGTGTGTGTTCAGATGCCATCCCAGATTCATTGAACCAGAATTTCTTGGAGTGAAGTCTGGTATGTTTTTTGTGACCATTTCTAAATATAAAGTCCAGTGTATAAATCATACCTGAGAGTGTTTTGGTATGGAAAAATAATCAGAATGTTTATGAATGCCAGTGGTGAGTTCAATACAGAGCTAAATGGAAAGTATTTCTCTCCTTAGATTTATAATAATCAGAGATTTAATGACATCTTTAAGACTGTGATCTCATCTACTCATAAGGAAAATGGACTTGCCATAGAACGTGAGTCTGGAGGGAGAATATGCTTTAGTAATGAGAGCAAGAGTTCTGGAGTTCACACAGTTCTAAATTTGAATCATAACACTACCATTTGCTAGCTAGTAATCTTGAGCAAGTTAATCTCTGTATGTAATATGAACTCTGCCATCTTGAGACAGTTAATCTCTGTATGTAATTTGAACTCTGCCAAACTGAGGTAATAGTACCTACCTTCTGAGGTCTGGATGAAAGTAAAGTTTTAAAAGTTGGTACCTATTTTTTTTTTTTTTTTAGAAGGTCTGGGGTTTGAACTCAGGACTTCTCACTGGGAGAGCAAACACTCTACTGCTTGAATCACATCTCCAGTCCATTTTGCTTTGGTTATTTTGGAGATGAGGTCTTAGCCTCCCAAGTAGCTATGATTACAGGTGTGAGCCACTGGTACCCAACCCTAATTTGTTTTTAATAAATGTTTCTTGGGAGTGGTGTGTAGCTCAGTGGTAGAGCACTTTACCTAGCATGCTCAAGGTCCTGGGTTTGATCCCCAGCATCATCATAAAATTAATTAAACTTTAACTAATTAAAAAATATGTCTAAACCTTACTCCTCAGTATTTCGGGAGTGCATATAAGTGCCAACTAGAATGTTTGTTTGCTATGTCATTTAATGAAGAGAATCAAAAATGAAGCATTCTGCTTATGGAAGTAAGGGCTAGATAAGATTCAGAGTAGAGTGGAGGCACTGCACCTACTGAAGAAAGAGTAAAAAACAAGTGTTAGAGCACTCAGAGGTAAAGCAGTCTTTTATCACCAACTGATTTGGGTCATAGTAAAATGTCGCCAGGAAGGATCCTAGTCATCATTATTGTCTTGTTGAATTGACACAGATGCATGCACTACCCATGAGTTCAGATAAGTGCTGTGCTTTGTAGGGCACAAGAGAACAGTAGTATAAGCAATGATGGAGGAAAATTTCCTAAGCCTCTAAATACAGACTTGATTATATTATTATGTAAGTAAAATGATAGCTGCAAAACTCTACCTCGGAGAAATGGTTACAATGGCATTTGCAATTTAGAGTCCCCATCGATTCTCTGAAGGTACATACAACAGTTTTCTACTGGTGTTCCTTGGATAAAAAATTTTACAGAGCTGCTGCTCTTTGGTTTCTTTCTGAGATAAACTCTGGGTTTTCTTGTCCCAAAACAAAGTCAGTAGTCCTCCATCTTCTCTACCATTATCAGAATCACCTTCTGCATTTATGCAATGCTGACAACCCAGGTGCAACTAATGGAAAGTGAGCAATTTGGAGTTGTGGTTTTGTGTTTTATTGGTAGAACTTTTAAGATAGGAGACTAAACATAATGAATGGAGAGGCAGAAGAACTTCAAGGCTAGCCTGGGCTATGTAGTAAGATCCTGTCTTCCCCCTCCCCCAAATAAAAACAGCATAATGATGGAATCTCCTAAATTCACTGTTATCAAAATAGGAAATAAAATTGGCCATCCCATTTCTTGTGAGTACATTTTCAATACCCCTCTACAAAGTTGTGACTATTTTGGTTTTCCTTTTTCCCTCCTCTTTATAGGTTGTTGGAAAGGACACCAATGTTATGTTGGTAGCTTTGGCAGCAAAATGCCTTACTGGACTGGCTGTTGGGCTAAGGAAGAAATTTGGACAATATGCAGGACATGTAAGTAACACTCCTATTTAGATACAAATCTGCAAAATTATCAAAAATAGCAGGCCAGTTTGCTTTGTATTTTTAAAGTAACTTTTTGACATAGATCTCTATATATTGGGCAAGGTAAGTTTCTCACTAAGTTTTATTAATATTCAGCCTACCCCCTCACAAATTTTTATAGAGATGTAACAACTAACTTAATAAGTCTTACATAGAAAAATCTAGCATTTCACTTAAAGTACTTATTGAGTTGATGTATTTGCTTGTTGTTTACTTACTAATATCTTGCTTTGTTTTTAGAACGGTATACATACAACAAGAAGAAATAAATTTATAATAACCATGGAATTGGGAGTATAGTTCATAGGTAGAGTACCTGTTTAGCATACACAAGGCCCTGGGTTATATCCTTAGCACTACCCCATGCCCAAGAAAAAACAATTTATAATAACCAGGACCATAATGAAAATGAGAGTAGGAAAGGCGATATAAATAAGTGAGGTAAATATATAGTATATATTTAATAGTGTTTTCCTATTTAAAAAAAAAACTCAAAACATTTAATACAGATTGTCCATTATGATCCCTCAGTGTAATTTATTTGAAGAAAACCTAAGACATTTGCTAAATATGTGATTTTCATTGTATAAGTTCAGTAGCAATAAGGTTGGTGATAGTTTTCTTCTTTAACTATGGCTTCTGAATTTGGTCTGAATTACTTAGAATGATTTAGCATTCTGAAAACTGAGTAAATTGAACTTTAGGGAATAACTTCTTACCACACTTGATTATTTGATTTCCTAGATTGAGTCAAGAATGTTCTAGTAGTTCCTAGTCATGTGTCAGTTTTATATTTTGAAGCTATTATCTAGTCTAACTTGAGCTTTGGCATTTGGCGCTTGCTTAATCATAACATTAAAAATAACTTCTGAGACTTTAAACTGAACAAAAGAAGATACTACCAAATAAAAATAAATTACAACTGACTTATTAAAAAAAATAAATAAAGGTAAGTGGCTGGCAGAGTGGCTCAAGTGGTAGAGTGCCTGCCTAGCAAGCATGAAGCCAAGTTCAAACCCTAGTACAACCAGAAATAAGTAAATAAAAAATAAAGGTCTAAGCCGAGCACCAGTGGCTCGTGTCTATAATCCTAGATACTCAGGAGGCAAAGATCAGGATTACGGTTTGAAACCAACCCTGGCAAATAGTTCATGAGACCCTATTTTAAAAAAACACCCATCACAAAAAGGGCTGATGGAGTGACTTAAGGTGTAGCCCCTGAGTTCAAGCCCCTATTGCAAAAAAATGAATAAGTAAATAAATAAAAATAAAAGTCTAATGGTGAAAGTGGCATGTGCCTATAGTTCCAGGTACTGAAAAGGCTTAGGCAGGAGGTTTGCTTGACTCTAGTTGTTCTGAGACCAACCAACATGCTGAGACCCTGTGTCAAATAAATCAGTAAGAAAATGAAAAAATAAAGTTTTATAAATGCTTAGACTTATATATGATAAACAAATCAAAATTATAACCTATAACACTAAATATTTTTGTATACATTTATGCTATCAATACATAAACTAGTTTGTAGCCAGTTTGGTGTTACTTATTATGATAGTTTATGCTTTTGTATTAGGCATAATACCTTTTTAAGATAGAAAACAATTTTTAAAATCCATTATAATTGGTAAAATAATGGTTGGATAATACCTAGCCCTCTAGTTTGAGTTTGAATTCTGGCTTTGTTTTACCTTATTTAGCTTCAAGATGTCACTGCTCTATAATTGGGATTTTTTTTCCCTTTTAAACTACATTAATATACACTATGTGGTATCAAACATGTTAGTGTGTAGCTTTATTTCTTTTAGCTATTTCTGAACTTATTTTTATAAAAGTGAATTTTGTCAGGTGCTGGTGGCCTGTAATCCTAGCTACTCAGGAGGCAGAGATCAGGAGAATTGCAGTTCTAAGCAAGGCTGGGCAAATAGTTCATGAGACCCTATCCTGAAAAACTCTATTCCAAACAATTGGGCTGGTGGAGTGACTCAAGGTGAAGGCTCTGAGTTCAAGCCCTAGTACTGCCAAAAAAAAAAAAAAAGTGAATTTTGGCTTATAACCTATGTCTTAATTTTTCAACCTTATAACTAACTTTGGTGTTAAAAAGTTCTTTATATTTCTCATGAAACCATATTCTTTCTGATCTGTACCCCTTCTGTGAAATTTTGAATATAATTTTTTGGAGGATCCCATTGACTTTGATGTATCTTTTAAACCTTTAAAAAAAAAAATCTTTGAGGATAAGGGTAGAGTGCATTCTCAGCATGTTTGAGAACTATCTAGCACTGCTAACACAGTGCTTGGCATTCAGTATATATGGCATTAATTTTTTAATGAATTAATAATAGTTTAGAACCTAAAACTAAAAATTATAAAAATTCCATCTTTATTATTTAAAATCAATAACAGAATATAAAAGATAACATTCTGATCACAAATTGCTATAATTTTTGGTATTGTATTATTTTTCTCTTTGGTATACAGAAGAAGCAGGAGAAATTTTAGTTCAGTAAGATATAGTAGACTCTTAAGTGGGGAAGGAATGTTATGTACTGTACCTGTTCCCTTACTCTATGACTTCTTGCTGATACTCATTTTGTAAAATTAGAGATGTTGCTGATAGAAATACCTTTATGGTTGCATGGAAGGTATATGGGCAGAAAGTAGATTTGAGAAGCACTGGTACAGTGGGCCAGAGTGAGAATTCTTAATTGTTACACTGTAAGATTTTTGTGCCCTTTAAGAAAGGAAATGACTTTGTATTCATCTTACATGTTTACCTTTTCTTTTGTTTTAATAAAGCCAAGGTCATTGGTTTTTGTTTTGTTTTGTTTTTGGTGGTACTAGGAGTTCAGCTTACTAGGCAGGTGCTCTACCATTTGAACGGTATCACCAGCCCTAGGTCATTGTTTTTAATAACAGCTCGAGAGATAACTGTTATGAAATGATATGTTCTTAGATAGAGATTGAGAGGAAAATGTTGTGTAACAATCACCAGTGTCTGATTTCATGATGTTTTTGGTTCCCTAACAAAGAAATCAAATACATTCTTCTTTTCCTCAAGACTCTAGTAACCACTGATCTACATCTTATCTCTATAGGTTTGACATTTCATATAAATGGAATCATATATGGTCATTTGTGACTGACTTCTTTCACTTAGCATAATTTTTAAAATTTTGGTTCATCCATGTTATAGTATATCAGTACTTCATTCCTTTTTGTTGCTAAGTATTCTAGCTATTCACTTCTATAGGTTGTACCAACCATTTTGGAAAAATTTAAAGAAAAGAAGCCTCAAGTGGTGCAAGCCCTACAAGAAGCGATTGATGCAGTCTTCCTTACTGTAAGTTAACTGCATTAATTTGTGATTTTATCTAAAGTAAATTTCATCAGTGTGATACTTTGATTATTTACACTTTTAAAATGCTCATTAACCACATTTTCTTTCTAAAAGACAACACTACAGAACATCAGTGAGGACGTTTTAGCAGTAATGGATAATAAAAACCCAACCATCAAGCAGCAAACATCTCTTTTTATTGCAAGAAGCTTCCGTCACTGCACTGCTTCTACCCTGCCAAAGAGTTTGCTAAAGCCCTTTTGTGCTGCTCTACTTAAGGTATGGACTGTCTTTGTACATGGTGGGGGATATTTTATACCTATTTAAGATTTTTTTCCCTTACCAATTACATACAATGACTATTTGACTTCACAGTGTAGATTATGATCTTATGAGAAGCAGAACCTCTGTTGTTTTGGAGGCTGAATCCAAATTCTTGTAACTGTTTGTGTTTCTGTTCTTGAAGAAAAATACAAATTAGATTTATGACTCCACTAACTGCTGAACATTTTGATTCTTACTTGGCATACTGGTGTTCAGCTGGATCTAGCCAAGCATAGGCATCAAATCTGTAATATTTGAAGATAATTTGGAAGTGGAGGCATTTTAGATAGAGGGTATGAGGAAAAGGAAGCACTTATTTGATGAATTGATAACCAGAGCATTCCTTAACGCAGAATTTGTGAAGAGTAATGTTAATTAGTAATAGGAAAGTTATAGTTTGCTTCAGTAAATTATAAAAGGCAAATTCTTATGAGATAGTTATTGATATGAATTAAAATTAGTAATACCTAAAGTACTATGTATTAAAGATCATTTTACTTACTTCTTGAGTATAGCACATCAATGATTCTGCTCCTGAAGTCAGAGATGCTGCTTTTGAAGCATTGGGTACGGCTCTGAAGGTGGTTGGTGAAAAAGCAGTAAACCCATTCTTAGCTGATGTAGACAAACTCAAACTTGATAAGGTAGGTCAATAATGGGTTATAGTAATTGAACAACAGTTCTGCGTCTTTGTATTGTGGTTTTGTTTTCTTGAAATTTGAAAACACTGATATCCTTTTGATCAAAATTTCTCCAATTTTTTTTATCACCACACAGAATATGAAGGAAATTTTGTGTTGCACACACATGCAGGCGATTGTGTGTGTGTGCGCGTATGCGTGCACACAAGCGCTGGGGATTGAACTCAGTTCCTTGCTCATGCAAGGTAGGTGCTCTACCACTTGAGCCATGAACCCAGCCCTTTTTTTTTTTTTTAAGATAAGGTCTCATGCTACCTTTGTCTCACTTGCCTCAAATTGGTGATCCTCCTGCCTTCACCTTCAAGTAGCTGGGATTATAGGCATGCATCACCATCCCTATTACTATGGGTTTTTTTGTTAACCAATTTTGTTCTGTTTCATTAAGAAGAAAATAGGTGGGGTATGGCTCACTCCTGTAATCTGAGCTACTCATGAGGCAGCAGATCATGGTCTTGGGCTAGCCCAGGCAAAAATTCCATGAGTATCCATCTCTACCAATAAAAAGCTGGGCATGGTGGTATGCACCTGCTGGGAAGTGGAAATAGGAGGCTCGTGGTCCTAGCTGACCCGGGAATAAAGGCAAGACCCTAATAAATAACCAGAGCAAAAAGGGCTGAGAGTATGGCTTGAATGGTAGAATGCCTGACTGTCAAGTGCAAGGCCCTGAATTCAAACCCTGGTACCACAGAACGAAAGGAAGGAAAGAAGAAAGAGAAAGAAAGAGGAGAGGGGAAAGGAGAGAAGAGGGAAAGTAGAGGAGAGGGGAATGGAGAAGGAAAAGGGAAACGAGGAGAGGAGAGGGGAATAAAGGAAAGGAAAGGAGAGAGGAAAGGGAAGAAGGAGAAAAAAAATTTTTTTAAATCATGGTAATCACCTTGTGAAATGTATTTCATTCACCAATAGTTCAGACCTGGAGTTTGAAAACATAACTTGTGAGGATATAAATTTTATCCTAGGCTCCAATGGTGATACCTTTCAAATTAAAACTAAACAAAGGTTGAATGACTAATCTAGTTCAAGGAAAATTACCTTTCTAAATGTAAATGTCTTCCATCAAAATTGTGGCCATTGTAAGTATATTATAATTCTAATTTGTGAAGAAATAAAATGTAAGACCTATCTACTGCTAAGAAAGTCTGGATGATTTTATATTTGGTGAAAGAGAGACTTCTTGTATAGCTGAGAAATGACTTGTTAGGTAATAATGTAGTGATTATTTTTCAAAGTTGGGCATAATAATGTTCATCTTGTTTTCATTCTCCAGATCAAAGAATGTTCAGAAAAAGTAGAGTTGGTACATGGTAAGAAATCTGGACTTGCAGCTGAAAAGAAGGAATTCAAGCCTGTGCCTGGAAGGGCCGCTGCTTCAGGGGCTGCAGGAGACAAGGACACAAAGGACGTTTCAGCACCTAAGCCAGGGCCCTTAAAAAAGGCACCTATTTCTAAGGTTAATAGATGATTTAAACATTAAAATTTAGTATTGTAGAGTCTTGAGTCTCAGGTTCATGGTTGTTCTTCTAGTGTGATTTCATTTGAGAAACATGTCATTGAGTACCTTGAAAGTAAAACAGAATGCCTGTTAATGAAGAGATAATATTCCAGCAATACCTTTGGCTATTTAAAACCTTATTAAAGATTTTAGGGAAAAAAAAATGGCAATGAAAACCAGTACTGATGTCCCCCACCTCTAATCCTAGCTACTTGAGAGGCTGAGATTGGGAGAATCATGGTTGGAGGCCAGCCCAGGGAAATAGTTCAAGACACTGTAAGTGTGATTTCAAACAATAGAACACCTACTTTACAAGTGCAAAATCCTAATCCCACCAAAGAAAAAGATTAATTAATTAATGGTAATGAAGTACTTTTTTTCTATTTTTTTAGTATGGTAACCATTACTATTTTAATCATTTTTAAGTTTTCAATTCAGTGATATAAAACATACTCATAATGTTGTGCAATCATAACTAAATTTTATACCCATTATACAATAACCACCTAAACCCCGCTCCACCAGGTGCAAACCATTCTTCCTGCTTTTTTTTCTAGGGTCTTGCACATGCTAAGCAAGTGCTGTACTACTTTGCCACATCCCCAGGCTTGCTTTCTCTTTCTTTGATGTTGACTAATTTAGATATCTCATTGAGTAGAATCATAGTATCTTTTCTTATCATTTCCTTCCTTCCTCTCCCCTTTCCTCTCCCACTAAGAGCCTTGCTCATGCTAGACAAGTGCTCTGCTACTGACCTACACCTCTAGCCCCTGTATTTGTCTTTTTGTAACAAGGTTACTTCAATTAGCATCATATCTTTAAGTTTATCTACATTGTAGCATATGTCAGAATTTCCTTTTTAATTTTTTAAGGGTGAATGTAGTATTTTATTGTATGGATGTACCACAATTGACTTAACCATTTGTCCTATAGTTATTTGCATTACTATTTGATTAGTAATGTTAAGCATCTTTTCATGTGACTATTAACCATTTATATAACCTCTTCAAAGAAATATATACTCAAGTTCTTTGCTAAGTTTTGAATTGAGTTGGCTGTTTGGTTGTTGAGTTTTAGAAATTCTTTATATGTATTGGATATTAATCCCATCTCACATACATGATTTGCAAATATTTTTATCATTCTACGGGTTGCCCTTTTACTTTGTGGATAGTATTTTTTTGACCACAAAACTTTTACATTTTCATTTAGTCCAATTTGTTTATTTTTCTTTTGTTGACTAGGCCATTTGGTTTTGTGTCTAGGAAACCATTGCCAAATCCATTGTCATGAAGCTTTTGCCCTCTCTAAGAGTTTTATAATTTTAGGTCTTATACTTAGGTTTTGGTCTATTTTGAGTTGATTTTTATATATGGTGTAAGGTAAGAGTCCAGCTTCATTCTTTTGCATGTGGAGATAGTTTTTCTAGCACCATTTGTTGCTAAAACTGTCCTTTTCCCATTGAGTAATTTTGTTACCTTGTCAGAAATCATTTGACCAGTAGCTAAGGGTATAGCTCAGTGTTAGAGTACTTGCCTAGCATGCATGAGGCCCTGGGTTTCATCCCTAGCACCAAACAACCACAACAACAAAAAATACACAAATGTCCACATATGCAAGAAAAGAATACATTTTCAGGGTTCAGAAAATTTTTGAACAATGAAATAAGATATGGCAAAGCATTTGGCATTAATAGCATCACCTTGATCATTTTGCTGGTAGTGCTCCCGAGCACATCACTGTCTCCATACCAGTATATGTACTGTCAACTTTGTATGGTGTAAATGTGGCAAATGCTCAATAGTACCTGTGCCATTCTTTGGTGAATGCTTTCCCTGTGGCTCTTTTAAATATTAAAGTTATCTATTATAGAGCTGGAGTAAAGTGCTTGCCTACTGTGTGCAAGGCTCTGAATGCAGTCCCCAGTACCTCAAAAAAAAAAAAATTTGCTGTAGATGCAAAAAGTTTGATTCTCTTTACCTACTCCCAGTCCCACCCTGAACTCCAGCAGGGTTAGGAGAAGAGAACTGATTATTTAGTGAGTGTTACTTTATGTTTCACTTTATCTTCATACTCATATTTAGTCATTGTAACTATTCTTAAAGTAGGTATTTTTGTGATCCCTAGTTTGTATAAAGAGAAAACTCAGAGCTCAGTGAGGTAAGGGTTCTACTCATGCTCTGTGTTCCAACTTAATTCTCTGAACCTTTCATGCCTGAGCTATCTGATTTTCTCTTACTATGAGCAAGTCTTTAAAAATGAAAACCAAAAATTTTTTTTTTTTTTTTTTTTTTTTGGATGATGGAGGCAATCACTTTTCCTTTTTTGTTTGTTTGGTAATACTGAGGTTTGTTCTCAGGGCCTCATGCTTGGTAAGCATGTTGTCTTCCACTTGAACCTCTGTGCCAGACCTTTTTTGTATTGGCTATTTTCAAGTCTCACGAACTATTTCCTGAGGCTGGCTTCAAACCACGATCCTCCTGAGTAGCTAGGATTATAGGTGTGAGCCACCGGCACCCGACTATAGTTTGGGGAACTTCTTAATATCAAAAAAGGTTGAAGGAACAATGTGAACAGTGATGTTTGATGCCATAATATTGTTACTATTGACTGTGTACCTTATAATATATATTTCTTTTCTTGTGATCTTCCAAAATGGAGGTGAAATGATATAAATGAAGATATATAAGAAGATATTGGCAGATAGAATCCAGATAAAGTTTATTCCAGGATAAGGATAACTCTAAACTATAAAATTTGCTAGCCAGGCGTGGTGGTACTTCTCTATAATCGTAGCACTTAGGAGGCAAGGCAGGAGGATCTTGTTTGAGACCAGCCTAGGTTATATAGCAAGACCTTGTCCTAAGAAACAGCAAAAAGAAGAAGATACATTCAAAATTTATTCTTTTTCAATGTATGAAATGATATATGTGGGTTTGGGGGGTTTTTTGTTGTTGGGACTGGGGTTTGAACTTGGCATCGCGCTTACAAAGCAGACACCTTGAGCCATACCTCCTGCTCATTTTGCTCTGGTTATTTTGAAGATGGGGTCTCAGACTGTTTGCCTAGGTAGCCTTGAACTGTGATCCTTCTGATCTCAGCCTCCCAAGTAGCTAGGATTACATGTAAAAGCCATAGGCTCCCAGCTTGGTTGTGTGTGTGTGTGTGTGTGTTTTGTTTTTTGATACACAATCTTGCTATGTTAGTTCAGGATGGCCTCGAACTTGATCCTCCTGTTTTTGTGTCTCATGGCTGGTATTATAGGTACCAGCCACCAATCCTGACAACATAACTCCTTGGTGAAATTTTTTAGTCACATAGAAATCAGTGGGTGCTTTAACAAGATTTAATGTATACACAGATCTATAGATAGTGAAGGATGTAGTAAACAAAGGCCAACATTATGGTTAATGGTAAAATACTGGAAGTATTCCGGTTATAGTGGCAAATACAACAAGTTGCTTGCTAATACCATTATTATTAAATAGTTGCTTACAATTAGACAAAAGAATAATGAGGTATTAATTTGAAGGGGCAAAACTATCATTTTTATAGATTGCATGATCATACACTTAACACTCAAGCAAGTCACCACACCTAAGGACTGTAGGTGTGGCTTAGGCTGTAGAGCACATGCTTTACAATCTCGAAGTCCTAAATTCAAACCCCCCAAAACAAAAAACAACAACAAAAAAAACCTAACAATGAAAAGATGTAGTGAGGGCTGGAAGAGTGGCTCAAGTGATAGATTGAGTACCTGCCTAACGTGTGAGGCTCTTGAGTTCAAATCCCAGTACCACCCCAAAAAAAGATGCTGTGAGATAGTCATCTTTAACATAAGTGGAGCAATAGCTGAGGTTTCTATGATAATCCCTCCTTTTCTTAGCAAATCATACAGTTCTATAATGAGAAATAATATATTTTGATACTGGAAAACCTTATGATTAAGTATTGAGTAAATGTTACAACTTAGAACCCTTGTAGCAAAGATTTAGAGGTGTTTAAAGACATTAGAATGTCATTCTCAAATTAATTTGTACATGTGATATAATTCCCATCCATCATTTTTCTTTTATTTCCTTAACTTATTCTGAATTAGAGGTTCTTAATATGAAGCCTGCAGATTACCCATCTATCCCATGGGTCTCTCTGTGGAGAGAAGCTGAATTCTGTAGACAGAAAAATGTTTTTATTTTTGGATGCTCTCTCCAGAAGATCATTTTTGAAATGATAATCTCTCATTTCAACGGGTTTTATGAACCCAGAAAGCCACTATTCTGAATCCTTAAGCATTTAACTTTTTAATAATTTCTTTTAGGCTGGTGGGCCATCTAAGAAAGGGAAAACAGCTGCCCCAGGAGGTGCAGGGAGTATTGGAACCAAGAATAAGAAAGGAGTGGAGACCAAAGAAATTGTGGAACCTGAGCTTTCTGTGAGTATTTTGCACTGTGTCTCAATGTTGTGAGACCATGGAATGTTGAGACCTATAAGGAGATTGGAGTTCTTTCTTTGCTGATTTCTACCATATAACAGTGAGTTGTTATCTTTTAGTTTATTGAAATTGCCATAGACAAACTTCCTCTATATGACAGAAGACTAAGATACCATAGCCTACCTATGAGAGTTTTCTTTCAGTTTTGACTAGGGTATTTTTACATTTGTTTCCTTAAGCATTTCCTAATTTTAACATATTTTTGTATCTTATAGATAGAAGTATGTGAAGAAAAAGCTTCAGCTGTTCTTCCCCCTACCTGTATACAGCTTCTAGACAGCAGTAACTGGAAGGAACGGCTAGCTTGTATGGAAGAGTTCCAAAAGGTAGGTGCATAGGGATGGATGGAGTATGAAAGGAAGTTAGATTATGTGGGGACAATGGAATTGACAAATGAAGGATTCGTCCTAATTGCTAAATAGGTTTCATCGTAGTTGTTTTACAGTGGTAGCTAAAGACGAAGTGGAATTTTGTTTTTTTGTAGCTGCTTAATGTTTTATCTTTCAACATCTGCATTCTATGGCTTTTGTAAAATGATAGGTGAAAAACTTAGATGAATTTTTTAAATTACAATACTTGCTGATAAACTGGTATGCAAACAAATCTCTTTACTTAAACTACTCTTCCATTTCTCTGTTTCTGCCTTTGTCCTCACAATTTCTTAGTGGATTGGGCACTGTCTACTGGTATGAGAAACTATCAGAACATGTGCTAGAAAGGGGCATGGTGTCAAATTTTGGCATATATTCTGTGATTCTATTGTGAGGAATGTGGCCAAATTTAAAAAGCAGTCGGAATTGAGGCAGGAACCTCATCCTGTATCTGCCACTTCTATGGTTTAGACTTGAATTTACATGTCACTTACCTACTTATACCCACTTAACTGAGTTTTTAGGAAAATAAGCAAAATAATGAATAAGCAGCTAATGTCACACACGATGCAAATGAAAATTGCTATTTCTTTCTTTGGGGAAAATTATTTGTGAATTCGTAAAATGTGAAATTAAAAGTTTCAGTGATATTAATAAAACAGTAGTACCCCACGCACGTAGCTTCAGAACTGAAGCATAACAGAAACTAAGAAAGCTCCTTTATTAAACCTCACCAGCTCTGTTCCCTTCTTCTTTTAGAGGTAATGACTTATTTGATTTTGGTTTTTTGCACTTCCTTTGGAACTACTCTTTAACGCTTTAACTCACTTATTGTCTTATTTTACTACAAGGCTGTTGAACTAATGGATCGGACTGAAATGCCATGTCAGGCATTAGTGAGGATGCTTGCCAAAAAACCTGGATGGAAAGAAACTAATTTTCAGGTACTTTAGTTATCGATTTAATGTCTTATTGAAATAATTTTAGTTGTATCATTCTATGGACCTACTTATGTAATTAGGAGTTTATGTATAAATAAATGCATAAATATATATAATTGGTATACTTTATTTGTTTTTTTTCAAATCCTTTTTTGGGTTTTTTTTGTTTGTTTGTTTTGGATTTTTATTTGATGGTAGCGAGATTTGAACTCGGGGCTTCATACTTGTTAGGCAGGCACTCTACCCATTTGAGCCACTCGCCAGCCCTTTTTTTTGTTGAGTATTTTCCAGGTAGGGTCTTGAGAATGTTTTGCCTAGACTGACTTTGAACCTTGATCCTCCTCACCAATCTACCTCCTGAGAGTAGCTAGGATTACAGGTGTGAGCCATCAGTACCCAGCATTTCATTTGTTTCTTGAGATAGGGTCTTACTGTGTTGCACAGGCTGGCCTCAAATTCCTGGACTCGAGTGAGCCTCTTGCCTCAGCCTCCTGTGTAGCTAGGACTGTAGACACACTACCACACCTAGCTTCTTCCTCATCATTATTTAGACCTAAAAGTCTCCTAGTTTAATATTTACATATTTGAGGGAGAGTTACACAGTGAAATGGCTTTCCTATTTGTTTGTATAAAAAAATAAGTGCAGTCTTTACAGCAACTAAGAGATAGCATAGATAAATGGGACCTCATAAAGCTAAAAAGCTTCTGTTCATCAAAAGAAATGGTCTCTAAACTAAAGAGAACACCCACAGAGTGGGAGAAAATATTTGCCAACTATACATCAGACAAAGGACTGATAACCAGAATATATAGGGAACTTAAAAAACTAAATCCTCCCCAAATTAATGAACCAATAAAGAAATGGGCAAGTGAACTAAACAGAACTTTCTCAAAAGAAGACATTCAAATGGCCAAAAGACACATGAAAAAGTGCTCACCATCTCTAGCAATAAAGGAAATGCAAATTAAAACCATGCTAAGATTCCACCTCACCCCTGTTAGAATAGCCATCATCAGCAACACCACCAACAACAGGTGTTGGCGAGGATGTGGGGAAAAAGGAACCCTCTTACACTGTTGGTGGGAGTGTAAACTAGTGCAACCACTCTGGAAAAAAATTTGGAGGCTACTTAAAAAGCTAGACATCGATCTACCATTTGATCCAGCAATACCACTCTTGGGGATATACCCAAAAGACTGTGACACAGGTTACTCCAGAGGCACCTGCACACCCATGTTTATTGCGGCACTATTCACAATAGCCAAGTTATGGAAACAGCCAAGATGCCCCACCACTGACAAATGGATTAAGAAAATGTGGTATCTATACACAATGGAATTTTATGCAGCCATGAAGAAGAACGAAATGTTATCATTCGCTGGTAAATGGATGGAATTGGAGAACATCATTCTGAGTGAGGTTAGCCTGGCCCAAAAGACCAAAAATCGTATGTTCTCCCTCATATGTGGACATTAGATCAAGGGCAAACACAACAATGGGATTGGACTTTGAGCACATGATAAAAGCGAGAGCACACAAGGGAGGGGTGAGGATAGGTAAGACACCTAAAAAACTAGCTAGCATTTGTTGCCCTTAATGCAGAGAAACTAAAGCAGATACCTTGAAAGCAACTGAGGCCAATAGGAAAAGGGGACCAGGAACTAGAGAAAAGGGTAAATCAAAAAGAATTAACCTAGAAGGTAACACCCACGCACAGGAAATTAATGTGAGTCAACTCCCTGTATAGCTATCCTTATCTCAACCAGCAAAAACCCTTGTTCCTTCCTATTATTGCTTATACTCTCTCTACAACAAAATTAGAGATAAGGGCAAAATAGTTTCTGCTGGGTATTGAGGGGGTTGGGGGGAGAGGGAAGGGGCGGAGTGGGTGGTAAGGGAGGGAGTGGGGGCAGGGGGGAGAGATAACCCAAGCCTTGTATGCACATATGAATAATAAACTAAAATAAAATAAAAATAAGTGCAGTCTTTAAATTGTCAATGACAGTTCACCACCCAGTCAGTGGTATAGCCTCATTAACTAATAATAGAGCTGGAATTTAACAGTATTAAGCAAAGAAGGAGAATCAAGAGTTTGAGGCCAGTGGCAAAGGTAGTAGGCAGGACTTGGTCTCAGAAAAACAAAAGTCTGGGAATATAGCCTAGCATTCACGAAGCCCTGGGTTGAATCCATGGCACCACAATAATAACAATAACAGTAAGTCATTATTATTACCCTAAAAAATGGATGTGGAAGGTGGTTTAGGAAAGTGATACAGGATGTATCACTAGATATGCATAGACTAGAAATGCTAAAGAAACTTGAAATGTAAAAGGTTTATTTTTATCCTGCTAACCCCTTTTTTCTATTCTTCTCCTGCCACTGTTTTCTGTCTAAGATCCATAGTTCCTCCTGCACTGTGTTCCCCTTATCTTCTCTGTGTTTTATCACCTCAGCCATACCAGCCATCTTTACAAAGGCTGAATATTCTGAAAGATTCTTGTTCTGCCTTTTTTTTGGTGGTGGTGTACTGGAATCATTCAACCACTTTTTAAATTCCTCTTTATACAGCCTTTTAGGTGAAAGGACATCTGGTTTTAGCCAGTATCATCCTGTGTTGGATCATAACAGGGAATAATTTTATGTGTATTTTATAAGAAATGTATTGAGATTATAAGACTTTTAAATTATATAATGCAATGGTTTTTTGTAAAAAAATCTAGAGTCACAAAGTTTTGTAACTCTAGTTTTAGAGTATTTTTTTTCATCACCCTCCCTAAGAAAAACCGCATACTCTCAGTAGCAGTTATTCTCCATTCCTGTCCAACCCCCAGTGATTGGCAGCTGTTAGCCTATTTTTTTGTCTTTATGATTCCACCTCTTCTGATCTTTCATATAAATGGAATCATGATGTGACCTTTTGTGGCTGGCTTTCACTTGGCATAATATTTTCAACGTTCATCCATATATTAGTTGTTTTTGATTGCCAAATAACATTTCATTTTTCAGATATACCACATTTTATTTTTCCATTCATCGGTCAGTCATTCAAGTTGTTTCAACTTTTTTTTCTTCATATTGTACATTATTTACATTGCCTCCATTGTCTCTCCGTCTTAGGCCCCACTCCACCCTACATAAAGCAAAAGAGGTTTTTTAGTTTTGTTTCATATAGGTATATGAAGTCCATCAACCATATACTATCACCTTATCTCCTTCAACTTTTTTCTGTTGTGACTAATGCTTCTGTGAATATATATGCAAATTTTTATGTCAACACGTTTTCAGTTTTCTTGGGTACATATTTAGAAGTAGAATTGCTGGGATCACATGCTACTTCTATGTTTAACATGTTCTCCAAAATGACTATAGCATTTTATATTCACAACAGCAATACATAAGAATTCCGTTTTCTCTATGTCCTCACCAGTAATCATTATTTTTAATTTTTTTATTCTTGTCATCCGAGAGATTATGGAGTATAATCTCATTGTAATTTTAATTTGCAGCCATCAAAGTCTCTGCTCAGTAAGTCATTAGCTTACTGGTCAGCAAATGACTAGACAGAGATTTACTTAAATGCTTTAAAGTAATATGCCTTCCACCCTCTGGCAGGGGTATCTGTATATGTGTGCTGGGACATGCCTCCAGTGCTCTTGCACTTTAGAACTTTATTTTAGCCTTCACTTCTTGCTATGCTGGGTCTAAAGTTCAGTCAAAGCTGAGAAACCCTTTAATGTCTTTCCTGGGCCTGTACACAACCTTGAATATACAGTTCTCCAGAATCTTAAGAATATATAGGAGCTTTTCAAGGTCCCCTGAGGACATCTTAATCCTCAAATTTTCCTTTTAAGTTTTTAACCAAACTCTTTTGCTTCAGCTGGTTTTGCAGCCTCAGGCCAGCTGCAATGCTAGATATTAAGCCGTTGTCACTGATTGTTTTCCACACATCCATTAAATAGGGCTTTTCCCCCTGAGCTAGCCAGAGTCAGTCAAATAACAGGTCCTTCAAGTGGGGCTTTTCCAGGAAACTGCCAGATAAGTCAAATATTTCCAATGCTTTGATTCAGGACTTTGTGACAAGCTCCAAATCTGATCTCCCACCCACTAGTGGCTACACAGCTTTAACTTTTCATAGTCGCCATGGTTTCAATGCTGCTGGTTTTGAAGAGGAACTGGGAAGAAGAGAATGGGATATAGGCAAGTTACATTGCCAAAAAGCTCATTCTTCTTACTAAGATTTCTAGCCTTTCTTTAAGAGCCCTTGAATTGTTTCAGGCCTTTAATTAATTTTCAGAGTTCATATTCCTGTCAGTGTTCTTACTGCTTTTATGGAGCATCAGTTTTACCAGGGGTTCTTACTCTACCAGTCCAGAAGTCCCACCCAAGATAATTGCATTTTAAGAGTATACTTATTTTCTAATGGATCTGTAAAGATGGTAATTCTAATAGCTTTATAAAGTTAAAATAGACAGTACAAAGGGAAGTATTTATGGGCAAAGGGGTCTTAAATTCCATTAAAGCAACTCTAGTAGTAACTCTGAGCTAGCTATGCAGTGTGTGTATACAGCATTATATATTTTAGAATGTATATTCAGATCACTTAATGCAAAAATCGTAAGAGAGGAAGAATACGGATTTTTCATCTTATAAGCCTATATTTTGAAACATTGGTTTGGGGTTTTTCCTATCTTCCCTATGTCATTTAGCTGCTTTAATGTATAACAATTAAAGGATAAAAATTACTTTGCTTCTTGGTTTAAATCTTTTATTTTAGTTTGGTTGTATTTGTTGACCTTACTGGTGTAACATCTTCAGGCTGCTATATGAATAAATAAATAAACCTCTTTGATTTAGTCATAATTTTATGACAATTCTTATTCAGGTGATGCAGATGAAGCTTCACATAGTTGCTTTGATTGCCCAGAAGGGAAATTTTTCCAAAACTTCAGCTCAGGTTGTATTAGATGGCCTCGTAGACAAGATCGGAGATGTGAAATGTGGGAACAATGCAAAGGAGGCTATAACAGCAATAGCTGAAGCTTGTATGTTGCCGTGGACAGCTGAGCAGGTTAGTGTCACAGAGCTTTCTCCCTAGGTTGTCCTAGTTTTTTTCCCTTTTTTTTTTTGACGGGGGGAGACTGGGGCTTAAACTCAGGACCTACACCTTGAGCTACCCCACCAGCCCTTTTTTGTGATTTTTTTTTTTTTTTTTTACAAGATCGATCTTGAGAACTGTTTGCCAAGGTAGCTTCAAACTGCAATCCTCCTTATCTCTGCCTCCTGAGTAGCTAGGATTCCAGGCATGAGCCACTGTCACCCAGCCCAAATTTAAATTTACAATTCAACTTTCTTAAGTAAAATAGGTTTTTGTTGTTTTTTTTTTAAATTATTGTACTGGGAGTACATTGTGACATGTACAAAAGTTCTTACAATATATCATAGTTGAATTCACCTCTTCCATCATTCTCCTTTATCCCCCCCACACCTTCACTCCTAGGAAGTAAAGCTTCCCCATGGTACTAGGGTTTGAACTCAGGGCCTATACCTTAAGCCACTCCACCAGTCCTTTGTGATGGGTTTTTTTCAGGATAGGGTCTCTCAAACTATTTGCCCAGGCTGGCGTTGAATCACAATCCTCCTGATCTCTGCCTCCTGAGTAGCTAGAATTACAGGTGTGAGCCACTGGCACCCAGCAATAAAACAGTTTTTTTGATACATGTTTATTTTTACCTTTACTAATACACTATTGCCTAGTAATGAAATTTTATCCTCCTCAAGAATATTCTATGAAAGATGCTAGTAATTTCTCTGAAGACATTATGATCCAAACAATTACTAATAAAAAGTTGTTAACAGTAGCTTTTAATACCACTGTCACTTTCGTCATTATCTTGTGTAGGTAAAATCTTTTGTTCCTAAGCCCTTCGTATAGTTGTTTTAGCATCAGAAACTGTGCTTAAAGAAATGTGAGAGAAAATGTATACTTGATGTTGTTTTTCCATTGCTCCAGGTTATGTCAATTGCTTTCTCACAGAAGAATCCCAAGAATCAATCAGAAACTCTGAATTGGCTATCAAATGCAATAAAAGAATTTAGTATTGCTGGGTAAGTCAGAAAGAAAGCAAATGGAAGATTATTAAAATGTTTGGCAGTCTCTAACTGGTGATTATATTTTTTATTGTTATCTCTGCTTATTTCTGAAGAGCTACAGTTGGGTGGCCAAATTATACATAAGAAAGCCACCTTGGTTCTCAAAGGTCTTCATTGGCTTATTGTCCTACATTTTGATATCCACTAAAAGATTTCTCTAATTTATTTTTTTCTAATGTTTTAGTAGTTGTCTCACAGAAAGCAATTCTAAGGATTTCTATTCAAATACATTTGGAAATTACTATACAATCACATTTGTTGAGAGACCTGAGAGCACTCAGGTGAATTAAGTACTTTCAGAAATCCTGTAATGAAAGAACTTGTTTGACTTTGTTTAACCTAGTTTCTAAACTCGTTTGTATATAGAACACAAGTTGACTGTATTCCCAGGCTAGTCTTGAACTCTGGAGCTCAAGTTGATCCTCCTGCCACAGCCTCACAGGTGCTCCAAATCCAGGCGCTTTTTAAAGTGCCTTTCAGATTATTCATTTTATTTGATCCTCCTAAAAACCATCTACATTGTTGTGTTATCTTTGATTTATAGATAAAGGAACATATCACTGAAAACTTAAGTTATACCCTGCATGGTAGTACATAACTCTGATCCCATCTACTTGGGAAACAGAGATAAGAGGATCACACGTTCCAGGCCAACCAGGTGAAGTGAAATACAAACAAAAGTGGTAGAGCACTGGCTTAGCATGTACAAAACCCTGGATTCAATCCCAAGTATTATGAAAAAAAAGAGAAAGAAACCTTATGTTATCTTCCCACCTCATAGCTAGGAAAGTGGCAAAGTCAAGATCTGAATCCAGGCATTCTGGTTTCAAGAAAATGCTCCATCTGCTATACTATATTGCCTTTCTCTATGCTTTGCTGCACATCTCAATTTAGAAAACTGAATTTTAATGATTAAGAATCACTACTGTAGAAGTTATTCAAGCAAAGACTGCTTATGATGTCAGTATCTTTGGAGTTCTCCCATACTTTGGGGTATTGTTATTCCTTCTGAACTATACATTCTTTTTTCTTTCTTTCTCCTTTTTTTTTTTTTTTTTTTTGAGCTAGGGATCAAAGCAGGGCCTCACACATACTCCACAAGTACTCTCTCACTGAGCAATGTACTTCTAGCCCAACTATACCTTCTGTGATGTAAAACTACTCTGTGCCATGTCACATAAAAGTGAATATTCTTTTTTACTTATACATGATCTTATTCATCTATATATTGATCACACTGTTCTAAATATTTCTTCCAAGTCCTTGGAATATATTATGGACAAAATTAAATTCTTGCTATTTTAGGCCTTACGTTAAGTAAGGGAGACTACCAGTAGTAAAAAGTTAAATGAGATGCATGTGTGTGTATATATAAAATGAAGAGTTGAAAGAAGCAATGGAATAAAAATACAGCAGGATAAGGGATTAGGTCAAATCACTTTATAGTTGGGACAGTGTTGACTATAGAGTAGTCTAACAGTCCTTCTTGAAAAGAATGACATTTTAGCAGAGACCAGACCATGATGGAGCATTAATCTTGGAAAAGCTAGACCAAGGAACAGCAAATGTAACTGCCCATGCTTCTCATGGTAGGGCATATGTGACATGACATATAGCAAGTAGTGTATGCTCCTTAGAAAGTAGCTGGAGTAAAATGAGTAAGCAGGTCAGGAGTGGTAGGAAATAAGATTGGAAAAGAATGGGACTAGGTCATCCATGGCCTTACCATTTTGAATAAGTTGGGAAAACATTAAAAGTTTCTGAGCAGGGCTGGGTATGTAGCTCAGTGGTGGAGCACTTGCCTAGCATGTATGAGACCCTGGGTTCAATTAATCCCCAACACTACAAAAATAAGGGGTAGGGTGTATGAGCAAAAGAGTAAGAGGATCATTCTTACTATAATCAGAACAGATAGTCAAAGACAGGGAGACTAATTAGTAGACTATTGAAATATTGCTGTCAAGAAATTGTAGTGATTTGTACATAGATTGGAGTGGAAGTACATAGGTAGAAGTGTTATGACGCAAAATATATTTTGTATTTTGAAAGCAGAATTAAATAGAATATCGAGCATAAGGGAGGAACAAGTCAGGGATGACCGAAGAGTCAGGGGTAGCCCGAGCAGCTAGAAGAATAATGTGGTTGTTTTCTGAGCTGCAGAAGACTGTGGGAGTAACAGGTTTTGAGGTTGTGGTATGAATGATCAGGAGTCTTGGTTGGAGGATGTCAGCTAGATATAGAAAGGGAAATGTCACAAACGCAAGATGAGTATGTGAATCTGACTACAGGACAGGGTTCAAAATTGGATTTAGAAATATTAAACAAAATAGAATTGTTCAGAGTATAGAAGTGAGTATAGAAAGTGAATAGTTGAGAACTCCTCCCTCAGGAGCCAGTGCTAAAGTCTGGCTTTATAGTCTCTATTGTATATTTTAAAGGCTTCATTTGCTTTCAGTTGTAAATATTTTTTCTTCTAGGTTGAATGTCAAAGCCTTCATTAGCAATGTGAAGACTGCTCTTGCTGCAACAAACCCAGTGAGTACATTCCAGCACAGATACAAGCATTACAACTATCTTTGTGGTTCCTGTCTGATTTAGGAAGTTCTTTTTTGTTCTCTCTGGCAGGCTGTGAGGACTTCTGCTATTACCCTGCTAGGTGTAATGTATTTATTTGTTGGTCCTACTTTGCGAATGTTCTTTGAGGATGAGAAACCTGCCCTCCTATCCCAGATAGATGCAGAATTTGAAAAGGTAAAGGTTCATTCCACAAAGGGTAAAATCCATTGATGGGCCTGAGAATCTCCTATTAATTAAGACTAAATTTTTGAAACCTTTGAAAAAAGAAGATGTATGCTAAGGTGAGCTCAGGAACAACAGAACCCTCCCATGGAGCAGAGGGGCAAAAAGTCACTTGATCTTGATTTTCAGTATGAATCTAGGCTGTGAAAGTGGGGCCTCATGAAAAGAAAATAAAGAATATGTATGTATTTGGTTTTTTATGTGTCTCTGGGACACATAACATGTTCCTATGAGAGTACATAAGAAATTGATGGCTTTTTGAGGAGGACAACTGCATAACTAACCATGGTGTAGGATGAGAAATTTTCCTCTTTATATTCTTCTGTACCTTAGGAATTTCAAACATTATGAGTGTATTACCCATTTTAAAAGTACATTAACTGTATTTTTAAAATAATTTAATATAAGGAGGTATGACTCAAGTGGTAGTCTTCTGCTTTGCAAGCACAAAGCCCCAAGTTCAAACCCACAAAATAAATTAATTGAAATAAATGCATTGACCTTTCTTGAATAGCTTTCTAACTGAAATTTTTTAGTGTTAGCAGATTTGCCTTTACTGCCTTAGACATACAAGTCAAAAGATAACTGTGAGCCAGGCACCTGTGATCCTAGCTACTCAGGAGGCAGAGATCAGAAGGAGTGAGGTTCAAGGCCAGCCTGGGCAAATAGTTCTCAAGACCCTTTCTTGAAAAAACCCATCACTAAAAAGGGCTGGTGGAGTGGCTCAAGGTGTAGGCCTTGAGTTCAAACCCCAGTACTGGAGGGGGAAAAAAAAAAAAGATAACTATGAATGAGAAGTTGAGAAGATTCAAAAAGATTTGTATAAATATAACTTTGACAATGTAGTCTCAAAATTAGAATCTCAGTAGGACTTAAAATAGCTATTAAAATACTGCTGTGCAAATGAGTATTGTGAAGGAATGAGAAAGTTTGACTTAGGTAACTTCTTTAATCTGTTTGCTCTCATATTCTTCAAGTTCATTAGTCTCATTGATGTATGTGTAGATGCAAGGACAGAAGCCACCAGCTCCAACCAGAGGAATTTCTAAGCATAGCACAAGTGGTACAGATGAAGGAGAAGATGGAGACGAACCAGATGATGGAGGCAATGATGTTGTTGATCTTTTGCCAAGGACAGAGATCAGGTAGGTTTCACTCTGTGAAGTGGTTTATCATTGTAGTAAATTCTACTAGTTTTTTGTTGTTGTTTTGGGTTTTTTTTTTTTTGGGGGGGTGGGTTTGAACTCAGAACTTCACACTTGCTAGGCAGGTGCTCTATCATTTGAGCCACTCTGCCAGCTCCTGTTATACTAAATTTTAACATTGCCTTCTTTTTGAATTCAGTAAAGGAAATTTCTGTGATACATTCTTTTAAGAGTTTTGAATGAAAGTTAAATCTTCTATTTTTCAGTGATAAAATTACTTCAGAATTGGTATCTAAGATTGGTGACAAGAATTGGAAGATCAGAAAAGAAGGCCTAGATGAAGTGACAGCCATTATCAATGAAGCAAAATTTATCCAACCAAATATAGGTGAACTCCCAACTGCCTTGAAGGGTCGACTCAATGATTCAAATAAAATCTTGGTACGTAGAATATGTGTCTTTTCTACCTGCCCCCCATAGGAGAATCCTTTTCAATGCAGACATCTCTAGCAAAATGTAAGTAATCACTTTAGAAGTAAATTCCTTTCATTTCTTAAGTGTGTCTCAAGATAGGCAGGTTTATTAGTCAAATTTTCATAAGTTTAAGAATTTGCTTTTTATAGGAATCCAATATTATATATCTTTGAATGATTTTGTATGAAACTATTTAATATACATAAAGAGGCTTAATGTCTAGTATTGAAATTTGGATTTTTATATTAGGGTTTTCTTAAACTAAGGTTTTATCTTACTTTAAAATTGTAAAGTTGCCTGGCACTGGTGACTCACACCTGTAATTCTAGCTACTGGGATACTGAGATGGGAAGGATCATGGTTCAAGGCCAGCCCAGGCAAAAAGTTCACAAGACCCCATTTTAACCAATAGCTGGACTCGGTGACATGTGCCTCTTATCTCTGCTTCAGCAGGAAACCTAAAATAGGAGAATTAAAGTCCAGGCAAACAGCAAGATCCTGTCTCCAAAATAACCAGAGAAGAAAAAGACTAGAGATATTGCTCAAGCAGTAGAATGCCTGACTGCCTAGCAAGTGAGAAGTCTTGCACTGCAAAAAAAAAAAAAAAAAAACTATTATAACCTGTGAACTATGAATTGATGATAAGCTAATTAGAACAGTGTCACAACAGGGTGATTTCCCTGTCTTGAAAGTGGACCAGAAGTCTTCTATATTAACTGCTATATTAACTGTATTGCAGTTTTCTTGTTAAACTTTGAGCACAACTTGCTTATGAACATAAAATGTTGGCTTTTTCCTCAGGTGCAGCAGACATTGAATATTCTTCAGCAATTGGCAGTAGCCATGGGCCCAAACATCAAGCAACATGTAAAGAACTTGGGCATCCCTGTCATCACAGTCCTTGGAGATAGCAAGGTAAACCTAATCTTTCTGCCACAGCTCCGTTCTGGAATAGGCCAGCCACATTCTTAGCCTAAGGATAGTTCTCTTTTCTACATTTCATGTAAATTATTAAAAGTTTGTGAAAATGAATTACGCCCAATCCTAACTATGTAGAAGGATTGGAAGCTTGAGGTCAGCCTAGGCAAAATTACCAAGAGCTCAAGTGGTAGGACACCTAAACAAGCACAAGATCCTAAGTTCAAACTAAATAACCACCAAAAATAACACATTCAAGGGCTGGTGGAATGGCTCTTGTGGTAGAGTGCTTGCCTAGTAACTGTGAGGCCCTGACTTCAAAGCCCAGCACCACCAAGAAAACACATATACACATACAAGGCTAGGGGTGTGGCTCAAGTGACAGTATTTGTCTAGCGTGAGAGATGCCTTAGGTTCAATCTCCAGTATCCTTCATTCCCCCCAAAAAAAGGTTTATAAAGATGAGAATATTAGAAGAAAAATAATAAACATGTTTTCCTTCTAAGCAGTGTTAAGGGGATGAGATATATCACTGATTAACTTTATTATCCTTAGACAGTTATGTTCTCTGAGGTTTGGTTTCTGTATCTTTGAAATTTATTTCTTATAAAATTGAGTCTGTATATAAAGTATATTGTATCTGTGTCTGTTTCATATGGTATGTTCTCAATAAATGGTATTTATGATTATATAGTGAATAAGCATGTGAATTTGGAGATCTCAAGTTATTTTTTAGTAGTTCAGTAAGATAGTTGTAATTTCACAGTCTTAGAAGTCATTAAGAGTTGCAGGACCAACACTGTATTTTAAGGTTTCTACTTCTATTGGGTTATTTTAATACTTTTCATATTGATAAGTCTTTCCCATTCCATGAATTCATATTCATAAACAATTTAAATGTTCAAGTTGTTATCAATTTCAGTATTAACCATTTTAAATTTCTAACATTTAGAAGTCTGTTCTACAGCAGGTAGTCATGAGTCAGAGACTCAGAAAGCAAAAATTTAGCTTATTTCTCTTACATAGTATTTTATGCTCAGATAATTAATTGAATTTAGGATTTTTTTCAATTTAAAGTTTTATATTTCTACTTTCCTTTAGAGTTTTTAGTTCAACCACAGAACTTGTGTTTCAAAGAAGATGGTTCCATGTATGTTCATGTGTACCTTAGAGAAACCTCCATTGTTCACATTCATAAAGTAACAAACTTTTCACCCTTTACCTCCAAATAATACTCAGTGTTATTTTTGCCAATTCTTTTCTCTATTCAGAATAATGTTCGAGCTGCTGCCCTAGCAACTGTGAATGCGTGGGCAGAACAGACTGGCATGAAGGAATGGCTGGAGGGAGAAGATCTTTCTGAAGAACTCAAAAAGGAAAATCCTTTCTTGAGGCAAGAGGTTAGTACCATAAACCAATCATGGGTTTTACTCATGTTTTTTACCTTTTTTAGGCATCAGGGCCTCCCTAATAAATATACATTTATGGCTAAAATAAATTTAATTATAAAAGTAAATAAAAGGGAAGCCAGATGTGGAGGTTCACACCTGGAATCCCAGCACTTGGGAGGTAAAGCCAGCTTAGGCTACCTTAGTGAGACCCTATCTCAAAAAACAAAAAAGTTTAAAAAAAAAAAGAAGCCAAACTGCTGAAGCTTTTGTGTGTATGAGCCACTTTACTTTTTTCTATTCATGTACTTCTTTAACGGTGAAACTCTTTGAAGGACAGACTTTTTTGTGGAATTTTCTCTTTTCTTGAAATCTTTTTTTTTTAATTGTTTTTATATTTATTCATACGTGTATACATTGTTTGGGCCACCTCTCCCCCCTGCTCCCCATCCCACACCCCCAACTCCTTAATTTCCCCCTCACTTCCAGACAGATGGCAAAATGTGTGGTTTTAATTGAACATAAAAATAGAATTCAGCATTTAAAAAATCCATCAGTGCAATCTATCATGCCAACAGGATAAAGAAGAGAAATCATATAATCCTAAGCCAAAAAAAAAAGGATTTGACAAAGTCCAACACTATGTCCTGATAAAAACTCAGCAAGTTAGTAATAGAGAATTTACTCGACTTCCTAAAAAGCATCTGCAAACAAACCTCTACGGGTCACATCATAGTTAGTGGTAGAAGATTGAATACTTTCTAAAATCAGGAATAAGACAAAGATGTCTACTATTATTTAACATGGTACAAGAAGTTCTAGTCACTGCAATAAGGCAAAAAAAGAAAAAAGTCATACAGATTGGGAAATAATAAGTAAATAATAATAATAAGTAAAATAATAAGTAAATAAAACCATGGCTAGTTGCAGATAACATGACTGTCTATAATAATAAACCCATAGCTAATCTCCTAGAACTAATCAGCAAGATCACCATGATTAGAAAATACAAAACCAACACACTTTGATCACCAACACTGTAAAATAAATAAATCTTTTATTCTGCAGTAGACCACATGACAAAGATGAAAAGACTACAGAGTGAGAATCATATTTGCAACTCTGTATCCAATAAAGGACTAATATCTAGAATATGTAAAGAATTCTCAAAACTAAATATTTAAAAAGGAAAAAAAAACCTAGTTAGAAAATATAAGACATAAACATTTCACTGAAGAGGATATACAAATGGCAAATAGGCCTTTGAAAGATGTTCAGCATTGTTAGCCATCAGGGAAATGCAAATTAAAACTGCAGTGAGATACACACATTTAGAATTGCTAAAGTAAAAAATAGTTATAACAACAAAAGCTGCAAGTATGTGGAGAAACTTGAATACTCATTGCTGTTAAAAATGAAAAATTGTATAGCCACTCCAGAAAACAGCTGGGCATTTTCTTATAAAACTAAACATGGAATTATTATATAACTAGCAATTGTACTCTTGGACATTTTATTCCAGAAAAATCAAAGTTCATTATCTACATAAATACAAATGTTCATAATAGCTTCTTTAATAATAAACCAAAACTGGGATTATAGATAAGGGGTAGAGTGTTTGACTGCATAATGGCCAAAACCAAGAAACAGTTCAGATAATCCTTCAACAGGTGAGTGAATGATTAAACTGTTGGATGTCCATATGTGGAATATCATTTAGTAAATGTGTATATACAACAATTTAAATAAGCCTCCGGAGAATTATGCTGTATGACAAAAAACAATTCCAAACAATTGCATTCCATTTGTAAAATACGTTTTAAATGCCAAAATTTTAGAAATGGAAATTAAGTTAGTTGTTGTCAGGGAGAGTGGTGGATGTGGTTATAAAAGCAACATGAGGAATCCTTGTGACTAGAAGTATTAAGAATATGAGCCAGGGCTAGTGGTTCACACCTGTAATCTAACTACTTGAGAGGCTAAGATCTGGAGGATTGCAGTTTTAGGCCAGTTTTGCCTAGGCAAATAGTTCACAAGACCCCATCTCCAAAATAACCAGACCAAAAATGGATTGGAGATGTGGCTTAGGTCGTAGGGGCACCTGCTTTATAAGCATGAAGCCCTGAGTTGAAACCCCAGTCCCACAAGAAAAAAAAAAAATAGGAAGAAAATTCTTGACTTATGCCAGATATAGTGTCACACACTTGTAATCCCAGCACTAAAGAGGCTGAAGTAGGAGGATTGTGAGTCTGAACCCAGCCTAAACTATATGTATAGTGAGACCCTGTCTCAAAAACAACCCAAATGAATCTTGACATACACACAATAATATTGTATAAATATACCTATGCAGTCATACACAAATGGATACAAGTAAAATTAGGGAAATATGAATAATATCATTGGATTCTACCAATAGCAATATCCTGATTGTGACACTATAATAGTTTTATAAAGTGTTATTTGGTTTTTTGCTTGTTGTTTTGGTGGAACTGGGGTTTGAACTCTGGACTTCCCACTTGACAGGCAGGCGCTCTACCACTTGAGCCACACCTATAGTGTTATTTGTGAAACAGATTAGATAAAAGGTACATGGAATCTCTCTGCAGTTCTTTTAATTGCTTGTGAATCAGCCATTATCTTAATAAAAATTTCAATGTGAAAGTAAATACAGATGTCAATTATTTTAAAGGTATAGAGAAAAAAATTATCTTCTGATCGAATAAACGTTTTGGGTCTTTACTTAGAACTTGTAGTAAATAAAAGTTTTTCGTCCTTAAAATACATTAATAACTGTTAAAGCATTATAATTTATTTTGCAAATATATGATGTAATGAGCTGTACCCTTTCTAATCTTAAAGACTGTCGTCATTTCATATACGATTTAAATACAGCACAGTTCTCGAACAATAAAAAGTACTGATTTCATATTGGGAAATTACAGTTAAAAACTAATTCAGGGGCCAGCCATGGTGGCACCCACCTATAATTTTAGCTACTTGGGAAGCAGTTACAGGAGAAATCACGGTTCAAGGCCAACCCGGGCAAAGTTAATGCAAGATCCTATCTAAAAAACAAAGTAAAAAAAACAACAGCAAAATGTGGGAACACAGCTCAAGCAATAGAGCACTTCATTTGCCTAGCAAGTGTGAGGACCTGAGTTCAATCCCCAGTTCCCCATGCAAAAATAATAATAACTCAGGGTCTAGGGGTATACCTCAGTGCTAGACTGCTTGCCCAGCACATTCAAGGTCCTGGCCTCAATCCCTAGTACTGAGGGAGAAAAAAAGAAAAAAGAACTTATTCATTGTTTGAGACTAATGAAATCACTAAGCCTGACATCACAATAGAAATTTTCCACTTGAAATTAGTGACTAGTCTTTATTTCTTTTGGCAGCTTCTGGGCTGGCTGGCTGAGAAACTACCTACCCTTCGTTCCACCCCCACAGATCTTATCCTTTGTGTTCCCCATCTTTACTCCTGTCTAGAAGATCGAAATGGAGATGTGCGGAAGAAGGCCCAAGATGCTTTGCCGTCCTTCATGATGCATTTAGGATATGAAAAAATGGCCAAAGCTACTGGAAAACTAAAGGTACTTGTTTTTGGTGCTGCTGTTGTTAAAAACCACTAGAAAAATATTGAATATAAATTTATATAAGCAAAAGATCACATTACCTACTATGAAACTCAATACTCAATTTGAAATCCCAGTAAGAGCAAAAATGAAATATTTATCTAAGAGCCTGCTGATTCCACAGGGATGAAAACTATGACCTTCTAGAATGATAGCTACTTGATTGTGACTTCATAATATCTGTTACTTCTCTTGCTCTATGTGTTGCCTCCCTTACTTCACTGATAATTCAAAAGTTGGAGCTCAATCATTTATTTGATGGCAGATTTGTTAGTAAACTTAGTGTGAATACATCATTTGTGTCACCTTTCATTTATTTTACATTGTCTTTTTAGCCAACTTCTAAAGATCAGGTGTTGGCCATGCTAGAAAAAGCCAAAGCTAACATGCCAGCCAAGCCTGCCGCACCTGCTAAAGCAACATCCAAACCAATAGGAGGATCAGCTCCAGCCAAATTCCAGCCTACATCAGGTAACTGTTTTGAGGGGGCTGAAGGGGAAGGATATAACCCAAAGGACTCTAAAAATTTAGACATCTAGCTTTCATCTTTCTGTTACATTTTCTCACAACCTAGATCACAAGTTCCTTAAACATTTTTCAAGTACTTGTTTTATGCCAGGATCTACACTAAGAGTATGAAAATGATAATTTGGTTTCCAAGTCCAAGGAGGTGTTTGGTGTAGCCCATTGAAATACTCCTGAAAGTATTCCATATGGTTTTCAGGTTGCAACAACTTTTTTCTGCTATTGGATATTCTAGTTAAATGAGCAATTGGGAACATCTAGTTTAATCCACTTTACTAACAGATAAGGAAATCCAAAGATGTTAATGACTTACACAAGGTTAAGTAGCCAATCAGTTCTGAACCAGCTTAATCACAGTTAATCACAAATGGTACCGCTACCACACTTGGCTATCTAATAATCCAGTATAATATTTACTAATCTTCTTTTTGGGGGTAGAACTGGGGATTGAACCAAAGGTTTTATGCATGCTGAGATCACACTCTACCACTGGTAATGGGGATTGAATCAGGACTCCTGCTTGCCTAGCACTTGAGCCACACCCCCAATCCAAAGAAAATAATTTTTAAAACTGGTTTAAATGTTGTTAAAGGAGATGGAGATTTTCTTAGTTAATTTTATAAGATTATGCTTATAGAGAAGTTTGGGAAGAAAAACAGACTAGGAAAAAATTCCAACTGAAAACACCTTATAGAGTGATACATTTAAGATTTCAGGCTTTCTTATATGTTTAATATGCCTAGAATAAAATGATATTAGTTTGAATTTAACTAATATAGTATGCTTTTCTCAAAGCACCTGTTGAAGAGTCTGTTTCCAGCACCATAGAAGCCAAGCCTGATCTGAAAAAGGCCAAAGCTCCAGGAGTTTCCTCTAAAACAAAGGTGTGTTAACTCTGCATATTTATGTTAATTTTACACACTTTGTTATTGTATTAGCAAAGTATGGGACAAAACATCACTACTCTTGATAATATCAAATTAAGTGTTTCTACAAATTGCTGTCCCATTCCCCCTACACACTCACTCTCTCTCTCTCTCTCTCTCTCTCTCTCTCTCACACACACACACACACCCTTATAGGGGATTGAATTTAAGGGCCTCAAACTTGTTGACAAGTGCTCTGCTACTTGAGCTGTGGGATCAGATCTTTTGCTTTATTTTTTCAGTTTGTTTTTCAAATAGGGTCTCACTAATTTTGCTCAGGCTGGCCTTAAACCTTGATCCTCTTGTCTCTCCCTCCTGAGTAGCTGGGATCATAGGTATGCCCCACCAAACTGGCTTTTTTATTTATATGTATTTGGTTCTGAGGATCATACCAGGGCATAATGCAGGCAAGGCAAACACTGTACCTCTATATCCTCTGCCCCTCATTTATTTTTGATAAAACCCCTGAACACAGACTTCCTGCTCTCTCATGAGATGCTTTCATGGTTTCTGTCATGGTTCTTCTCTAGGGAAGAGTTACAGTAGTGAAAAGAGGAAGGAATATATGTAGCTCTGTCAGAATGAACACTTTAGGCTAATTTGGAATTGAGAGAAGAAAGGCAATCAACTTCTTAACAGTTTGGTTCAGAGGTCATCATACTAGAACATACTCTGATTAGTCTATAAGACAATACCTTTTGTCCCCACATTAGTGGAATTAGAACCACCAGTCCTTTCAATACCTGTTCAGAGTTGCATGATTTAAAGAAATATATTCATATGTTCCAATTTAAATATAGTCACATCAAAAATGTTATTAGTTTCTATATTAAGACTCAGAGCTAGTCACTGTATTCATTCAGGAGTAATACTTAAAAAAGGAAATTTTCAAATAGTAGTAAATCTCACAGTAAATAGTAAATCAAAATGGAGAAAACTCATTAATGGCATGTAATTGATGAAAAATATAAGAGTAGAAACTTTTTTCTGTCTTCGGTGGTACTGAGGTTTAAACTCAGTGCCTCATGCTTGCTGAGCAGGTAAGTGTTCTGCCATTTGAGCCACACCTTCCAGCCCTAGAAACTTTTCTCAGTATACTTATTATTATACCTCCATCATAGAGTAGGCATTTCTAAGTGTTTTCTAAATATTACAATTATCCAGTTTCCAGTTCAAATTCCAGTCTCACCAAAAGAAAAGAAAGGAAAAAACAGTTATCCATTTTTCTTCTTTATGCTTGGGTCCTTTAATTTTGTGAGTTAATTTAAGTGAGTAATTGTATTCTAAACTATCCTTTTCCTATATCCTTCCTATCCGTCTTCATGTCCTCAACCAAAATTCAGCAAATGCTTATTTTTATTTTGATCACAAGTGCTTCAGAGTATTTTGACTGTGTTCTTTTTTTCTTTTTTTGTGCTGTGCTGGGGTTGGAACCTGGGACCTTTGATCATGCTAGGCAAATGCTAGCGTGTACTACATCCCCAGCCCCTTCCATTTTGTTCTTAATGCCATGTTTTTCAGTTTACAAAGATTCTAAATCTTGAATATTTATTATTTATTTATTTAGGCAATGTTGGGTTTGAAATCAGGGTCATCCTTATGCTTGATAAATAAGCACTCTACCACTTGAGCTATACCATTAGCCCCTGAATTATTTAAAACCTTATTAGTGAACTAAGTATTAAAGTGTTTATAGCAACTTTCTTCAGAAGCAGATTTAAAGAGACTATAGTTACATTGCTGTGGTAGAGATAATTTTCAATATGAAGAGAAATAAAAGAGTTTTCTCAACTAAATGATGTAAAATGTATAAATACCATTCAAAATGACATTAACATGCAGGAAAAATTTAAGTAGTATTGGAGATTTCAAGAAAGAAAAGAACTATCCAGTAAACAAAAATAGCCTGTGACCCAATCTAATGAGAAGTAATAGTAGCTTTTGCAACTACATATATGTTGCCAGGCCAAGAACTAACCAAGACTTATGTAAGAATACAATTGAAAACATTTCTAGCTGGCCTTGGTGGTACATGCCTTTAATCTCTGCACTCAGAAGGCTGAGGAATAAGAACTGCAAATTAGAGGTTAGGCTGAGCTACATAGTAACACCTTGTCTCAAAATCAACAAAAACATTTCCAGAAAAAGTGTACAAAAATATTACATGATACTCATCTGTTTCTTTCATGTTGAAATGTAATGTAGAAAGGCTTCTCTGGTTTTTTTCTTCTGGTTTCTGGGCAATAATATCATATTCCTTAGGAGAAGTGGCCTAGCTAATAAGAATTTTTTAACTTTGGTTTTAGAGTGTACAAGGAAAGAAAGTACCAAGCAAAACCAGCTTAAAGGAAGATGAAGACAAATCTGGACCTATTTTTATTGTTGTTCCAAATGGAAAGGAGCAGAGGATGAAAGATGAAAAAGGATTGAAGGTAAGGAAAGGATAAGTATCTTTAGAAGTTTTTGCCTCTGTTTTTGTTCTATCTTGCTAATCAAAAATAGTTTCTAGAGCTGGTAGAGTGGCTCAAGTGGTAAAGCTCCTGCCTAGCAAGTGTAAGTTCCTGAGTTCAAACCCCAGTAACTAACACACACACACACACACACACACACACACACACACACACACACACACACACACACACACACACACACAAAACCGCCACCACCACTACCACCACTTCCCCCCAGGAAGACAGTGAGTTTAATGCTCAATGGTAGAGTACTTGCCTTTGCATTCCACTCATAAGGCCCTGGGTTTGATCCCTAAGCACCACAAGGACACAAAATTATTTCATGTTTTTGGGCACCGATGGCTCACGAATGTAGTCCTAGCTACTCAGGAGGCAGAGATCGGGAGAATCACAGTTCAAAGCCAGCCCAGGAAAATAGTTTATGAGACCCTCTCTTGAAAATATGCAAAGCAAAAAAGGGCTGGTGGAGTGGCTCAAGTGGTATTGTTCCTGCCTAGTAAGCATGAAACTCTGAGTTCAAACCTAGTACTGCAAAAAAAGAAAAAAAAGTACATCTACATTGTAGCATTGATTTTGCTAATAAGAATTGCTCAAAGCCTTTCTTTGTTTTTGTTTTTTTACTACTACTGGAGTTTGAACTCTAGGCCTTACACTTGGTAGGCAAGCGCTTTACCATTTGAGCCACTCCCCAAGCCTTCAAAAATCTTTTAAGATTTCCTTAATCTTAATTAATCCTTCTTAATTTAAAAGGATCCTTTTACTTGCATGGCTCAAGCAGTAAGCACCTGCCTAACAAGTGCGAAGTCCTGAGTTCAAACCCCAGTACCACCAAATAAGTATCCTACAGCAAGGCATGGTTGCATACTTCAAGAGGCTGAGGCAGGAAGATTGGGAGTTCCAAGCCAGTCTGTGCTGCATAACAAGATCCTGTCTCAAAAACAGGGGAAAAAAAAAATCCTATAAAGTCCTGTAGCTGTATTACATAAGACACTCTATTTCAGTTTATACCCAGCCCCTTTTCACTATTCTA